TGAGCGGTATGATGAGGAAAGAACTTCTCAACATGTTGTCTTTTCTCGGCTTCCTGGGGTGGGATTGCACCAGAGGGAGGTGGTGACCAGTCGGGCGCATCTCCGCCTCCCACACGTGAAACAGGTTGCATCCATTCTTTGTGTACGGGAAATGTATTTGCAGGTGATTGCTTTTCAGCAAAATGCAATTATCTCGCGCTTGATTGATGGCTCCAGCCCTAATCTGCTAAATTCAGTTTCTTGCTGATCTGGTCGGCTGTGTGACATGTTCATTCTGTCAGAACAGCAGCGTGGGCTCGCTCTTTGACCACACCGCTAACAATGATGCATTGCTCATGGGTGGTACTTTCTTACAGACTGAATGGAGGACAAATTAATCAGGGCCACCTGGTTATCCTGTTTACCTGTTGGCACCAGAGGTTGGAGCCTGACCACATGGTTGATTAAACCCCTGACCAGCCTTAAGAACCCCAGGGAGGCTGTTGTTGTCACTGTCATTTGTACACACATGGCTGCTGAGCACTCCGTGTGAGAAAAAAGCTGCTGAATGCACAAGAAAGCTGCAAGGTAGCTCAGCAAGGAGTACAAAGGAAGTCTTCCTAGACCTAAACTTTTAGGAAGTGAAAATTGAACTTATTTATAGTACATTTCATATAGTGCTGCCTTTTAAAAAAAATTTTTTTTCAGTTGATGCTCTTGACTTAAGATGTGCATATTGTCTATTGTTTACAGTCCATAATATACCTAGATCATAGTTCAGGACCTGTAAATTGGTGCCTCACATTGCTAAACAGTGTCGAAAAGCTCAGATTTGAGGGGATTTAAAGAATTGTCATGCATAAAAAGACATATTTGGCAATGGCTCCATTAGTCTGCATTTCCTGCAAAGCTTATCCCTTTTATTGACTTTCTTACTTCAGCTAAATAAGGGGATGTTTGGGCAATTATGTGAAGGATTTATTCGAGGTTCAGTACCGCGGAGAATGGTTTTCCTATGCGCCGGGTTGTCTGTAATGAGCGTCTGACGCCACCTCTGCACAGCCTGTGTTTGCTACAGTGGTTCCGCTCCGCCTCCAGAATGCTCTGCCCTTGGCCACCGCGGCACGGACGCTCAGCCGTAGACTGCAGCGGCTTATTTTACTGATCATCACACTTCCAGTTGCTGAAGAAGAACTAATGAGTGAACTCACTTCGGTATGGTACGCCTCTTTTTGTTACCCGTTGGCAGTTTGGCTGATGGAGTTCGAGTAGAACATGAGAATGACTTAATAGTGACTGATTCAATTACAGGTGTGTAATGCGTGTAAGTTCGCTGTGAAGTGAGAAGCTTCTTTCAGGTATACGACATTATGTGTCAGGATGTAATCTGAAAAAATCAATGGGTCATTACGATGTCTTTTATTTAGGTTATAACAGCCTCTGATGAACAACATAGAGCAGGTGTGAAAACTAGGCGCATTGTTACTGCTTCCACTGAGATGAAGATGGTATGCAACAGCTGGGTGCTGGTAAACGCCATAAAAGTAGATGAACTGGCAGTTCTGAGGAGTGTTTTATCACAATGCCAAGTAGGAAAGACATCAGCAGTCATTTTAATAGAAGCAGTTATAGCTCCTTGTCAGTTTGGGAGAAGATTATACAAATAAATCCTAAACTTTTTTTGAAACCACAACTCTATTCGTAACACTTTAGTGTTTGCCGTCATCATTCCAGACCGTTTCCCAGGAGTGGAGGTCAGACTGTGCTGTGCTCGGAGAAACAGCAAATAACCCAAGACCGACTGCAGACTCCAGCTGGCATATGAAATGTTGAGAGTTCATGACAGTACCCCCATGTGATGGAGGGGTGGAGAACCTGGCCACCCTGCAGTCATGGAATCAACCATGAACTCCTCTTTTGGAAAACCTTTTCAAAAGGTTGGCTCGTACCGGGTCATGAAACAGCACCGTATACAACTGAATGACAATGAAAACTAAAGTCCTCGTCTTTGGTGCCTAAACAGATGACCGTTGTATAAACCATCAAAACATGAAAGATACACATTCTTTTCCACACGATCATATTCTCCACATACCAATCTGAATTAATCTGAATTCTGCTTTAAAAACTTTAGTTTCTAAGCGTTTTACATCATGGTGATCCATTATTGCAGACATCCAAAAGCGTACACCCTCTTCTCTCCAGCCTCATTTCTGGCGCTCCCCCCCCCAGGCGAATCTGGCAGTTGATCCCGGACTGTCTGGAAGACTATTCGAAAAGGTCAGCGCGAGCTGCCTCTCTGGTTGGGAAGAAGACAACACCGCCTTATCTTTCTCCAACGCTGTGATGCTCCGGCTACTTTGACAGTAGCACTTGTATTTCATTTATTTCCTGCCTGAACCTCAGTCCTCAGCTGACTCCCCACACTTTTCATCTCTGCCCTGAACGCAGCAGCCCGTCCCCAGAGGTGTGGGTAATGGCCTGCTGGCCGTCCACTCAGGCCGATAAAGACTTGCGGGAAACGCAGTCACAGCTCCTGCTTCGAATAAGAGGAGAAGATAAAGTTGAAAGCAGAAAGAGAAGATGGGTTGTTAACAGTGTAGATAAAGAAAAAGCACTGGGAAAAGGTTAAGAGCACCCCGAGGCACCATGCAGCCTAATTCAATACTTTCCTTTTCTGTCACCTTTTTGGACAGTTTTTACATGTTAAGTCAGGCACTCGGAGACCAGTCGAGTAATAATACCTGAAGACGAGATATGGATGAGTGAGAGCACTTTAAAGTCCCCCGAACACTACAGACTGAAAAGATGAAATATTATAAGTTGATGATGTGAACACTCTTACTTAACATTTAGAAGTGGATGATCTAGGAGACGTCTTCAGAAGCTGATCTTTGCTCAAAGAAAAATAGCAGAGCCGGTGGGGGAGGGGGCGGGTTATTCTAAAGAACAGAAAATGTCAATACTCTGCAGTGCTTTGAATGTTGTGTGGGAGACAGAAGCTCCTTGATGGATGGCGGCGGCGATAATGAAAAATGATTTGAATGGTAGAGAACGAGTCTGACGGAGGTGGAGCCGTGAATGATGGAACGAGTGGGGGGGGTGGAAATAAGATTAGGCTCGGCTCCTCAGGTGGTGTGTCAGCCTTGGGAGCGGAATGGCTGTGGGCCGTTCCAGCCCCGGTGCAGAGCAGGTGGGCCGCTTTACTGACGGAGGAGATCTGCACGCAGACAGCGGTTATGTTTCCACTTGTCTGACACGCTGGCGTGGGCGTATCTGAGAGAGCGGGGACATGTGATCCGCAGTAAATGTCACTTAGTGTCATGTAAATGGGGAATTCAGCACTTGTGTTTGAAATGTTTAAGTAGTCCAACAAACCCCACAGCATGAGAAAGGATTTTTTTCTGTTTTTAGATGAGCATCTGTACCCTGTAAAGGCCTGTGTTAAGTTACTGGGCGGGGTGTTTGCATGTGCCCCGCTAAAGGCTTTTCTGACTAACACAGAGCAGTAGGGTAAAATACAAGATTCATCCATTACATTGTTTTAACTATTAATATGGTGCCTGAAGCCTTATTCCCAACTTTCATACTTGTTTGACTTTATTCAGTGCTGAAAATAATAATGCATTAATTATAAAGCATTTCCCCTCTGCTCAGAAAAATCAGGACTAATCGCTCCAGCGATGGCAGCACATCCCTCCAAAATACCAGCTCTGCACAGCATTGTGGGAAGAACTCCCCTTTAACGTGAAGCTGGAAATGTCCAAAAATGATTACAAACAATTATTTTAGCTCAGTATTTCTCTTTTTTTTTGGCCCCATATGAAACTTCTCCTGCTACTTTGTTATTTAGATGGACCCAAAACGCACTTCCATCTAAGACGTTAGTTGATGTTTATTAGAGGAAAATGGGTGGGTGAAAAGTAGTAATCTGAGATAATGGGGTATAAACATTTCTTAGATATAAACGGATATGCAAAATTTGTTTTAACACAACTCTGACAATGTAGAATGATCGCATTTCTAAATTTGATTTAGTGACATCCTCTAAACCTGTGGTAATTAATTTAAGATAATTTCTTACATAGAAATCAAATGGAGAATAATTAGTTTATTTCCATTTTGTATCTTTAGGCAGCTCTCTATTATTTTTGCTTTGCAGGATGATTACAGCCCATTAAAAGCACTGCACTGCTTCTTCCTCCTCCACCACAGCAAAAAGATGTCTGACTCCACTCAGGGGAGTAAATGCCATTCTTCAGCAGAAATTAATTGCTTCTTTGAAAGTAAAATCTTTAAAGTTAGCTTGACTTTCTCGGTATGATTATTTACGGTCCGCAATTTATCTTGTGAAAGAAACACATGACTTAAGGGGGAAAAAAGCAATAATTGCAATCTGGTGATTATGCAATCATAGCGGCAGGCTTCTCCTACACGGACTCATTTAGCAAGTTTCCTGTCGAATAAGAGGGCATATTTACCAACTCTTGAAGCTAACGTTCGCTTAATTATCTAACCGGCTCTGGCACAACAGCCGTTTGGGCTGAAAAACTGATGGATACCAGAGATGTGTGTCTGTGTGACTGTGTAAAGCAGAGGAGGCTTCTTCCATCGTTAATTGCCACTGTAATGATTTTCAGTTGGAAATCTGCCTCGGCTATCATCATAAAAACAATGTCTGGCAAACTTTAGAAATAAAGTGAGACTGACGTATTTGGAGAAGAAAATAAACAAAGACGAATAATGCATTTTCTACCAGAGAACATGAGAGCAGGGGACCCCTATGAGCTGTGTGAACGGAGATGCTGACATTTTTTAATAAAAGTGCAGACACCCATAATGCTTTTCAGCTGGATGTTCAGAGGAGAGAGTTGTGCTGCTTTTCTGTTTCATTGTAAGGTCAGTTTCAGCCTCCCAGTAGGAACACTGTCATTGTGTGTCATTGCTGTAAGTCGATTAAGTCTGTGTGATGTCTTTCTATTGCTTTGTCCCTGTATGAGATCTTCAATTAGAAGGGAAACATGTCCGTCCTCTCCATGGGGGTTCCTTTTATCAAGGCCTCCATCTCTGTTGTTTACATGCCTCAGAGCCGCATCCAATTATCCATTAGGTCAGACAGGCATAAATACAGAAAACAAAACAAAGAAGAAATCAACAGAGGATCAAAAAGGATCCTTTCTTCCCACAACTTTCTGCGGTGAGGGGTTTAAACACTTTTCCATCAGGAGAAAGGACACGACTTAATGTTTGTCACTGCAGCGTCTCTGTGAGGAGATTCACTGGATAATGAGGTGGTTTAACATATCTGAGACCAAGTGAGACCACACATTAGGGCTATCGCTAATCTGCCTTTCAGGCCACCAGCCAGAGCGCCACTCTCTCAACACTTTAGCAACTTATGTATTAACTTATGCATCGTCACCGGAGGACATTAAACACAGCTGCGAATGAGCAGACAGTTCGGAGGATGGGAGGATGGGGTCTGAACACGACCAACGCAGCCTCCTCTGAGGAGGGTGCAAGGAGAAGGTGTGCGCTGAGAGGAGCATCAAGGCCGGGGCTCTGGTGAACAGTAATGGAACAGCGAGCGGCATCAAGGACGCTTCTTAAAGCCTAACACAGTCACTGATCCCATTATAGTCAGACCTTTGGTCGCTGTTGTTCCTTGTGTGTTTGAGATTACTTGGACTCTGGCCCTGGATGTCAGAGGAACAAAGCTCTGCTGAGTGGCTTACACAGAGAAAAGCTCCTGGAAGGCGAAACAAGTGGGGAAAGAAAATAGACTTTAGCCTGACTTTAAAGTCGCAGCGTAACACCCACTTTCTGCAAAAAAACCCACAGCAAGCGACTAATCTTTATGCTAACAACTCTATCTTTGTCCTCTTTCCTTTTTTCGTGACTCTGCCTGATATATCGGCGCTGCACAACACCACCCTCTATTTATCCTCATCTTCCTCCTGCGTCTGTACAGTCTGGTGATAGTGTCACCTACACCCTGTGACCAGGTTGTTGTCCAGCAGCTCTCCCTATGAATTATGATGCGCAGGAGGAGTCCTAATCTTGTTATGGATGTTCTTTTGCCCTTGGGGAGGGGGGGGGGCATCAACGGATAGACAGAACTTTATCAGATTTTATGGTGCTTTAGGATTATAATTCATGAAAAGTGCTGTCTTATGTTTGTAGGTGGGTGGGTGAGGTGAGAGGAGGTAGCATTTAACAGCACAGTTGATTCCCTGAAGAACCACAGTAGGTGCAGTTCAAGTAAGAATTCAAAAATGAACATGAGAGTAAAAATTAGCAGAATTGGCTCACTGCTCACAGCAAAGCACATGCATAAATGAATGCATTTTATTCCTAAAGAATGCGGGAAATATTTGGAGATAGAGACTAACTAGTATTCAAGAGGGTCAAATATGACAAAACAATTCTGATTTTCACCTTAATCTGACACATATTTTCACTGTAGCTGAATGATGATCAATCAGAACTTCTCCATCACCGTGTAACTCTGGTAAGCACCAGTTTTTTCCATTTAGTTAGCATTCAATTATATTCAAATTGGTTTTTACACTAAAACCTAAATACCCCATTTGATATCACATTGATGCAGTTGTTGTGATTTGGAAAAATGGGATTTGTGACGGGAAATATGCTGGATCTGTTCACATACTGACAAACTCAGTGTGAACCGTCATGCTATGAAAATGAAGCACACACAGAGCTGACGTGACACCCCATGAAACAGGATTTTCCCCTCTCTCCCCTGTTTGAATAGCAGGACAATAACATGTTCATGACACGACAGTCTTCAGACTTATGCTGATGGGCATCAAAGAGGATGGGAAAGGTCGCTATTTAAAGAAATGTAGTCCGAACAAATCCATTTAGATAAATCGATTAGTTGTTGGGTGATGAGGTTTCACGAGTTTGCGTCATAAGCATGCTAGTATATTTACAGTGCTGGGATCAAGTCAAGATAATGCTGTCTTTAAGAATGAGCTACACAGAAAAAAAATTATTTCAGGTTCTGGAAACTTTATGCAAACTCCTCCAATCAAATAGTTTGCAGTGATGACCATCACCACTCATTACTCCATGAGATACCATGTCTCTTAGGGAAAACGATGGGAAAGAAAAGTAAATATTGATTTCCTGCATTAGCATCTGATAAAACCAAATGGAAATTTGATTAAATGGAAAATGTCTGAATGATATAGTTTCATTATTTTTAAAGCAATCATTGTAAGATTTGAATCAAGTGATTCCAATTTTTTATTTAAAAAACTTGTCTGCCCATCTTTCCTTAAAATATGTTGCGTACTGTTATAACATCTGATCTATATAAACCTATATAGCTGAATAAGACATATAAGTAATATTAGCAAGGGTTTCTTCAAACTGGTCTTTCCACCTATATCATTTCTTTATCTCTGCAGCTTCTGTTGACAGCGTGATTCATCCACCACTTCCGTCCAAACAAATTACCTGCTCTTCAGGTTAATGTTTGCTTTTTTTCTGATGTCTACTCTCCCATTGTGAACTACCCCACAAGTGATTGGAAAGCTCTTCTTTCTTTCCCTGTTTCGGCCGAAATCCACGTTTGTCACAAGTTGTCTTTCAGAGAGGGGAAGGCTTTTACCTCATCTCTTGTGATTCGTGTCCTTTCACAGGTCCCCGCAATCATGTTGTGCTTCTGTTGGCACAGTGCAGAGAACTGTGCGTAATGTACACAAGCTGCTGTGCTGAAAGGCTTTCGCCTGCACCATCAGCTGCAGGGAAAACACTTTGCAGGAACAATGTGTGAGACTGAACATGCCGCGCTGCACAAAGGTGCCTGCTTTGGATCTCACATGGAAACATTTGTGTCTCATCTTAAGCATTATTTCATTTTATTTTGGCACTTTTCATTTTGACAAGTGCGATGTCGCGATACAGAGTTTGAAAGGGATGAAGCAGCGATGGACAGTCCATGCTGTCATTGTAAAGGAAAGAAATCTTCAACAAGTACAGTATCATGGCCCTGAGTGGTGCGAGGCAGAGATATCACAGAAAAGAAAACTGCATGTCTGTCAGCCTGTTTTAGAAAATGTCTGAAAACGAGAAAATGATACAACACAATATACAAAAGAAATCAATGCTTTTTTCCCTGTGTTTTCAAAAAAAATTCTTCGTTTACATTTTTTCTGCTTTATGTTGTATTTTATTTGCCATAGCTGCCATTTGCAAAGGTGTTTTCTCTGCTTACTCAATACAGTCGAAAAGAAGACAAAAACATGGAGAACTCTTCTCTCCATTGTAGTTAATGTGCATTTAATGCTCTTCCCCCCCCCCCAAGATACAAACATTACTGATGGGCACAAAGAGGCAAGATAATAAGAAAAGGATTACATCCTCACATGAACTAATGTGACGATTTCCATACTGAATGGGCTGCCATTCATTATCATACAGTGAATTAGGAGAAAATGTCCAGGAACTCCATTGAGTTTGTCACAATGTTTGATAAATGGACCCTCATTTTCCCTACATGATGTGAACACATTCGGTTCCTTATTAAATAACTGACTCTTCGGGCTAAAAGAGATCAGGCTAGCTGGTTCATATGTCCTCACTTGGCATTAGGGTTCTTTGCAGAGTCAATAGAAAGGAATGGCTGCGGCGCCTAGGCCCTTTTATGAGCCCCTTGTGGACCTTGAGTGTGCAGGACAGGAGATGCATTCTGTAAGATCTAATTAAGTCGAGCGAAATGAGAGTGTGGAGGTGCCAAGCTCAGGAAGAGACACAAATCAGGAGCCGTTGACAGTGCGCGGCGGCAGAGCAACACGGGGCTGCTGCTAAGGCCAAAGTTTAGCTTCCAGGTAACGCCCAGAAGCACTTTTCTGTGCTCCTGAGGTTAGCTTTTGTTACGGCTTTGAATCCCTATCTCATTAGGAGAGAAATAAGCGTATCCTGTTTGCGCCTGTACAGGTAATTAGTGTTACCTCCGAGCTAGAGAAGCACATGGTTCCATCAGGTGTCTTGTGTGGCACAGGTGGAGAAAAGTCAAAAAGTTCCACGCTGTGTTACTCACAGCTCTCCTGTTAGAGTGAGTTACTCGGAGGTGCTGAGAAGTAAAGTGTGTACTCTCATCTCAGGGAAGCGTGCTAATTTAGATGTGCAGACTGTGTGGGATGGAAAAAAAGAGTTTCTTTTGTTTGACGAGTCACCGTTCACAAGCCATTACATTGGAGCGCAGAACAAATGTCTTTAGGACACCTGGCGCCAAGGCTGTGACTGTCTGCTCTCGCAGGCTCCTTTCTTACCGGGAGCAGAAAGACCTTGGCGTACAAAGACAACAGACTTGATTATGTGAGTACACAGGAAGGTCTCCAAACATTGTTGTGCTAATCACGTTAGCGGGCACAGACTCTAGGCAGGACAGATGCTTGGCAAAGGGCAATGGGGTTATGTTATCCTGATTAGAGGAGGCTTTGGGAGGGGGAGCTGTGAATCTCTTCTTCTCTTCCTTTCCTTTCAGAGGTAGACCCGCCACCATTCTCTCTCCATCTCTCTCTGTCAGGTTTTTCCTCCGTCGTAATAGCCCTCTTTTCCTTTTTAATCAGACACCCACACGCGGGCACCGAGCCGTCAGATGACACCTGTCAATTTCCACGTCACTCCGCTAAAAGTGGCTGAAAACATTTTGCTCCTTTGTGACATGTTTGCGTTGGTCCCCTCAGTTGCTTGTTTGAATACCTCTTCCAGTTTGATGTAAATCAGCTGGAAGAATCTTCAACCGACAAAACAAAGCACGGACACTGACGTTCCCGAGCAAAAGTCTTCTTTATTTTACTCTCACTGTATGCTTAAAAGGGTTTTAAAATCCTACAGTAGGGTGTATATTTTTGTGTTCCACATTTTTCAATTGTGGTGTAAAGATGTAATTTTTTCTATTGTGTCTTTCTCTACAGTCATTATCCCTTTTGCATCTGATTAGTTTTAGCCGAAACAACGTTAGGATAGCCCGTTGTTTATCATTTTCAGTACAGATGAGTAACATAATGTCCATCAAGTTTTTTCCTGCCTGAGGAAACTCTGGTATAACAGACAGCACAATTGTCTGTTTGGGCGACTTCATTTTCCAATTTAAAAATAATTCATTTGCTGCAGGCGTTTTAGAGCCTTTTGAATTTTTTTTAATACATGCTCCACTACCACAGCTTGCAAATGATGTCTGTTTCTGGAACTTGAGAGACAGCTAATGTTCAGGGAATGCAGTGGTGTGCGATGGAAAAAATGCTCCGAAGTTTTCAAGCCTCAACTTGACCACACAATCTGGTTAAAGTCTTAGAACAAATACCTTTTCGAGTACGAGTACGAGTCGATAACGAGTTGTGGGTAAGGAAGCGCGGGGGTTCCTAACTTACAGGTTTCTCCTCCTTTCAGGGTCCTTCATGTTGGTGAACTCTTCCCAGCATGCCGTTGGTCAACGCGCCCAGCTGCTGCTGCAGACGCTGAGTGAAAATGACACCCACTGCGTCCAGTTCAGCTACTTCCTGTACAGCCGCGACGGCCACAGCCCCGGAGCCCTGCGCGCCTACGTACGGGTCAACGGCGGCCCCCTCGGCAGCTCGGTGTGGAACGCGTCGGGTTCTCATGGCAAACAGTGGCACCAGGTGGAGCTGGCTGTGAGCACCTTCTGGCCCAACGAATATCAGGTACAAACTTCGCTTTTTCTCAGCTCCTCACCGTTATATGTGATGAAAGCACATCCTCTCTCCCAGCATCGCTGTCACAGAGGATTTATTTGAACAACACAGACCTGCAGACCCACTGACCATCATCTGGTAGAGCTGAAAACTCTCGCATAGCGAGTCTCTGTTGATCACTTTTCATTTTAGCCTCAAGGTGAATCTGGTGTTAATTACTTGCATTCGAGATTTAATTAGCACTGATTCCCATGTGAATGTAGTCGATGTTAACGCTTGAGGTACCTAACAGGATGTGACATGGGAATGCCTGCTAGAGCTTTCACCCACTCAGGCTTTGCTCGCTGTGCTTTGAGACGCCTTTAACCATTTACATGGCGTTTCATTGTCACGCGGACACTGACTGGCACATGGAGTGGTCTGTAAATGGCATGGTGGGGTGTGCATGAGGGTCATCCATCTATTAATCCAATTTCTTCTTTCTGCAAACTCTGCGGAGCTGTCAAAAAGCAATTAAGTTGAGTAGTATGCATTTTATCAAGAACTGTCAATCCCTCCTGACTTAATTAAATTCTATTCAGCCCTGCAAGATGTGACCTTCACTGTATAAATAATAGTCTTGCATTGTGCAGCCTTGGGCTGGATGCAGCAGGATGTATTTCAGCCCATATCATACAATCTGAGATTAAGGTAAAATCTCAGGCTTACAATTGTACACAGTATAATATAGGGCTCACCATCGAGAATTTACCTTTAATAGAGTGGCATATTTTACTCTGAATTGGTGCCTAACACCTTGTCCCATTATTGTATTTGAAAACCTTGCCAGATTTATGTGAAGAAGTCTTCATGAAGTTTCAAACTGACAACACAGTCAATAACCCAAAGTAATATTTGTAAGCTTTGTTGAGAAGCTACAGCCTGAAAGCCCATAACGATACAGATGGTGCTGAAAGGTGCAAGAAATATTCAGGGGCTTCACAACAGCATTCGACTCTGAATAGACTCCATGAAAATAACTTCATTTCAAACCTGCTTTTATAAAGATACATGAGAGTAGATATAGAAATTGAGCCAAATGAACGATTTGGACCCACTCACAGAGATATTATGGCACCATTAGATGGTTGACACTGACGCATCTGTATATAAGCTGTTCCAGTTCCAACTGCTGGCAGTGCAGTTGTCTTGAGCTACGACTCTAATTTAGAAAAGGTTAGGAAGCTGTGAGTAATAAACCCATAGTGCTGTGCTGTGTTTGCCAATCTGATACGGCATTTTATTAGTCCTAATCAATAGAAATTAATAATAAACGAAGAAAAAATTATTATCAAACAGTGAAACATTTGCCTCTTTCTTAAGAAACTATAGCCTTTCAATTATTCAACTGTTTGAACAGGAGCAGCAAAAAGATGGATCAGGAAGCACAAAGCAGAGTCTCAGAAATAAAGATGAAATAAGGTTCCTCAATTTAAAATGGCAGTTCTTGAATGAGAACGTCGGTTTTGCAAGCATGAAAAAGAAGCAGGAGACCTTTTTCTGGTCAAGAGTAAATGACTATGTCTTAGATTCATTTAACCTGCAAACACTGAGGCATCACTGCAAGAAAAAGAGTGTTTTCAACATGGAAATAACTTAAGGGGCTCAGGAAACCTTCTATTGCCTGTTATATGTTACCACAGTTCACTGCTCCAGCCAAAAAAGAGATATCATGCAAAGAAGAATATAAAGGTGAAAACAATCTGGAGGAAATTAGTCTTTTAAGGACTCAGTCAGAGTGGCTTATATTCAGTGGAATAGAAATTCCAGATTTATTTTAGAAATCATGGATGTATCATCCTCTGGCTGGTAGAAGATACAGAGCATCTGACATTCAATTCAAAAGCCTGTTTTTAATCAGATATCCTGTCGAAGGCCTTTTATATTTCAGAAAGATAATGCTCAACTGTTATCTGGCCTAAACCTTCAGTCTGTGTGCTGGAATGACCTGTCCACAGTCCAGACGTTCAGATGGAAAACATCTGGCTCGGTACAAAATGCAGCTTACGACAAAGAAGACTGCAGCTTGTCGAGCAGATCAAAACTGGCCTCTTCACTTCTAAGATGTTTAAAGGCTGCTGTTAACAGATGCTACACGTCTGTAAAAAATAGTACCAGAATCAAGATGAGCACACAGTTTTCCAGCAGAAAAACATCTGATTTTTCTGCTTTCCTGTTTTGTGAGTTCTGTAAATATCTGCAGCGCACACCCTTTCAAACTGTGGTTGTACTTTAATAACAGTGTTATAGATGCTAGGAGCCAGGAGATGATTTATAGAAGAGGGAAATGGAAAAATGGAAAGCTCTGAGACACAAACCTGTCCACATTTGAGCATGCTTAGGTTTGAGTTTGTTTGGCTTTTTGAACACCCACCGAAATGAAAGCATGTAATCTTTCATTTTTATTGTGTTTTGCCTTGAAAAATCTTCTTTTATTATGGATTGTTTGCAGTGTGCACCTAGAAAATATCTGTTTACTGCAGCTGTGGGTGCATCTAAACTGTATTTCTGCTTCCTGTCCTGGTGGCTGGATCGCTGTGAGCGCACTCCTCTGCTTTTCTCTTTATAACTGGGCCAGCAGTGCAACAGCCCATCACATCAATTTCAGAACAAAAGATACAGAGATGACTTCGACACACTTTGCTGCTGAGTTGCTTTTCCAAGCTTTTCCAGCTTTTTTGCTGCACGTTTTTACTTTGACAAAATTCTCATCAGAGAAATCAAGGACGGGTTTGCTTTTCCGCGGAACGATAGATAGTGAGAGCAGAAAATGGCCGCCCCTCCACCTAAAGGAGGCTGTGCTGTGCGCTGTCTCCGTTATGAAAACAGACTCACTAGCATTTGTATAACTAACTCCAGCATGAGAGCAGACACGCCATGAATATGGTAATGTTAGGTTTCACCCGGCCCTCTCTTTTCTTCCCAAATCGGACTGATCAGGCCCCGTTACGCTGATGGTTTGTTCTCCATATCCTCCCTCTCTCTCTCTGTGTACTCTCTCACTCCAGTAAGCGTGTGATGGCTCATAGGTGACTCAGAACTATGCTTCAGCTGCCAATGAGAGGCTGCAGTTAGGAGTAGAAGGTTTATAATGGGCTTATGAGGAGGAGGGGGGAACAAACGGTACAGGAGAAGATGGGCCCAACAGTTGAATTAGTATTGACAGTACAGCCTTTTAATAGAAGGGCTTAAACCACTAATGGCCTGGCTTTTATCCCCTGTTGGGGAAAACATACCGTTCAAATTGATTGGATTAAATTTACTAATATTGGGGATTTGATCGGCAAGAACTGGCAACATTAGAGCAAATGTATCCCATTTCAGTGTGTAAGGAATGAAACGACTGGATCCCCCCCCCCCCCCATGCGTCTACGTGTCGCTGTAATTCAGCTGACCTCATACTGCCGCTTGAGCACAAAGAGAGCAAAACAAACTGCCCCCACAAATTCACATATACCACGGCTTACACTGCTAATCCCTCAGCAGTCAAAAAAGCTCATCACTGTGGAATGACAGCGAGTCTTCTGTAGCAGCATGCCACCGCCGCCTTTCACACCGACAAAACACAGAGGGGTGAATGGGGAGGTGGAAGGCGGGATGTTTTCTTTAGTGCTCACATCCCCTGGTGTTAACCCACAAATGAAACTGAAAGATAAACATGAAGAAAGGAGAACAATGGGAATCCATCAGAGCATGCTTTGCCTCCGAGAGGTTTTTTCTCAGAGAGTTTTTTGCTCTAAAGCAGGTTAACTGCAGCTTATGTGGTTTTTAAATGAGGGGGTTTAGTTACATCAGCAAGTCGAATGCAGTCACCTCGGACTTAAAGTGATCAGCAGGGTTCTTCACACGTTCCTTAAACAAGCATTTTGCTCACTTTTCTAAAGCAGGAGATGCCCCCTTTTTTGTAAAATGGATGCTCACAGAACTCCTTTCAGTGGCAGCGTTGGAACCAGCATGTTTTTCTGCCTTATTGGATCTCCGCACATATCAGAGCAGCGAGTTCCTTGCCTGCAGCACGTTTGCAAAATGTCAGCATAGCCTTTTGCACCACACCGATACAGATGGCAGATAACGCTCAAGGATGCTCGTTTCCTGATTTTGGGGCGTAGTGAAACACCTTGTTTACGCAGTCGTTGTCTGTGTTCTGAAAATGCCATTGTCGGATGTAATTAAAAGGAGGCGGCGAAAGGCTCAGATAATCGCCAAAACGAAAGGGATTAATAGACTGAACGCCAAAGAGAAAAAAAAAACAATCTACTCAATCTTATTTGTTCACCTGCCTGCTGATTTGAGAAATTATTTTCCTGATTACTTTGATTGTATCTCTGTAGGAGGGACTTTGATGTTTCTTGCAACATGCCATGTTGACATTTCTATATTAATTGATATTTTTTGAAGATATATTATTTCAGTAACCCCCCCCTTTATGTATGAGAGAGTTGATGATGTGGATTGAGTGTATTTTGAGGTGGCAATGTGAGATTACCTTGAAGTGTCTCGATAGAAGCTGTCGTCTGAGTCTGGAGTACATAACCATAAATCTCTACTTCTTATTGTAGAAGTGTTTGCAGTACCCGGAGAACCCTGTTATCAAATATTAAAGATGTTATCCAGCCTTCCAAGACTTCCGACGCCCCCCTTCCCGCCTCCTTTTTTCCCTGTCTGTCACTTTCTGACTTATTGATCTCCTATCAAACGTCAGAAACTTTGTCAGACTCTCTTCTCATCTGTCGTGCATTACCTTTCCCCGCGTCTCGGTATTTTCCCCGGTCCTTAGCTGCTGAGTATGCTGCTGCTGTGGGCTGACAAAGCTTGTGTCATTTCGGTGCGTGGCGGGCATTATCCAGTCATTACTCCACTTCTGTGGGTTGTGGGTTGGTCATGAAACTAGTCCGTCCTGGGAGGAGGACAGTATATGGAACAATGGGGGGTGAATAGAACAGCTGTCTGTAGCCTGACTGTGTGCAGATATGTCCAGCGGTCACCTGCAACCGTAAAAGCAGATGCCTAACATCGTCTTGCAGCCAGACCAGCTGCGACCAATGGGCATGGAAATGGGACAGCTGGTGAGACAGTTGTTGTAAGTCTTGTGGGTTTTGAGGTGAGTGCACGGTGGATGCTGCTTACCTTGCAACGTCCTGAAAATTCTCTTGAGTTTGTTTTGTGAATTGCAGGTTTTGGGTATGCACGCCCTGTTCATTGAAGGGGCCGAGTTTTTGATCTGGAGCAGTGTTTACCAAGGTGTTGTGTTTTAAAGGGGCTCGCCTTTCACAGATGATGTGGTGCCATTCGCTTCATCAGGCAGGAACCCCGGGCAGAGAGTCGGGATGAAAGCTAGTGTTTCCCAGATTGGGAGTGGGTTGCTGCCTCAGCATGTGGGCAGCAAATGCAGCGACATGGGCATAGCTGCTGTCCTATGTTTGAGACCAGAGCACAGAGCCAAAAAGACAAAAAAAAAAAACGATTGATTTATCAGTCAGTTTCTGCTCCATCCCACACTTATGGTCATGAGCCGTGGGTAGCGGCTTTGTCTCTGATTACAGCACACGAACACACAAATCCAAGAAGTGCCCGGCAGCTTTCTCCTGCTGCAACTCAGCAAGGGTGGAGTGTCGCACAAAAGGGCACAAAAAGATTTTAAAAAAAGATCAGAACATGCACTGAACAACAGACTGTTATTTCACATGGAACAAGGACTGGTGGATATCATCCCCGTCTCCGTCATTGTTGTGACACAAAGGCTTTTCACTGCCACATTGCCATTTCACGAAAAGATGAAATGTCCCCTGAAGTCAGACTTTAAGTCAGTACAAAGAGAGAAACACATCGGATGTACAGACTGGATTATTCTGGCCTGTTTAGCATGATCGCTTAAATCCACAGATTTTTTCCCCCCCTGCGATGCTTTCTTGTTTACTTAAAATCGTTTCTAAGAAAAAAATGAAAAAAGAATCATTCCTTGAAAAGAAATTAGCCTGATTCACGATACAGGCACATCAATAGACTTATTATCAATAGACCAAAGAATCTTTCTGTCCCAGCTTTTCTTATTTCATCTCTTTCCTCCTGCTGCACAGTTGCTTGCTAAGAGTCCTCCAAGCTGAGCCCATGGCAACGGAACAGCGTTTAGTGGAATAAGAGGAGAACCCTCATACATTCTCACTGTGTTCACAGACATGACGGTTATCCTTCGGCATTTCCACTCCAGACAGTTTTCCTCCACAGAAAAGCATCGGGGGATTTTTTTGTTCTTTTAAATCTCATCCGACTGAATTAAATAGTGTTTCAATTTTTGTTTGTGTGTGTTTGTGTTTAATAGTGTCTCCCGATCGGTGAAAAGGTAGAAGCTGGTTTACAAGGCTGAATAAATCCTCCCTTGATTTGTATACATTACATCTGCCTCTGAAAACCAATATTACAGAGGAATGTAATATGTTCTGGTAATGTGCCTTTTATTTCTGCTGTAAATCACTTCATGACACACGTTTTTTTTAACCCTCCAGAGGATAGTTCCTGCTCTTTTCTTCCTGTGAATGCAAAGTAACAGCTTGTTACTTGCTTGCGCAAGCATTCGTAAACCTTCATTGGCAAAGTGGCTTTCAATAAAAATCTTGGAAGGTAGTTTATTGAAACAAATGCTCTGAAAGGCTCCCCCTTAATAACCTTCTTTCCTAATGGCTAAGAAGACTTGGGATTAACCAGCAATCAATCTCTTCAGCACTTTAGCTCAGACGAGAGTAATAAAAGCCTCAATTAGACTTTCAAGATGTTTTTTTTTTTCTCACTTGTATACCATTAAGTTTAATCAGTGTTCCCAGCTAATTCTGACGTTAGTCTAATAGCTTGGCCTTGAGTGTTTACACAGCTAATTCAGGTCAACGCACTGAGGTAGATTGTGCCCTAATCATTGTTGTTAATTTTGTATGTAAAACATTGTAAAAAGGGAGGGAGGAAAAGAGGAGTAAACATGGACGAGGGGAGAAAGACTTGACAAGGAAGTATGAGCGATGTGTAGCCAGAGAGGACGGGAAACCGGGAGGAGGCAGTGAAAATGATGAGAAGGGAAAATTCTATTGTCACCTTTTAAGAGAGGTGACACCTCCCGGCCTAAGAAAAAGAGAAGTTGATGCTTGTAGAAAGGAATTAGCCTCAGCGTTCCCCTCTGAGTGGAGCGGCCTGTCACAGCCGGAGCAGGTTCTCACTCCAGCTGCAGCACACCCAGATGCCAGGACCTTTCATGATGCTGCCCCTCTCAATTTTCTCATCCATCCATTAGCCCACATCCGCCCCCTCTCATCTCATTTTGCTTTTCTTTTTTTTTTTTTTGCTGATTCAGGTCCATCACGTTCCTTTCGAGATGTGCCTGTATGAGACATGTGTGTTCAGGTTTAGTTTTGCACAGAAGTGGACGGGACTTAAGTCCAGATGTGGCAGACTGTGTCAGTGTTGCTGACACAGGGGCTGGAATAAGGGCCAGTATACAGTATTTCTTAGCTCTTCAAACACAGAATGATGGTGGAGATGAAGATAAGCCATGTGTCATACTGTTGACTGTGTTTTTGGAGGCATACTTCTAAATAAAAAGTTGACTCTCCCTCTCTGGGACACTGCAGTATGGACTCCTGAAGCTGCTGCTGTAAAAAGTTTGAAAGAAGATATTGTTCTACATCCTCTGGTTTCCTTTAGTATATAATGGTCTGTGTTTAAAAATAAATCACAAGGGAATTTCGAGTGAGATGATAAAGCTCTTTATCGAGAAAGTTTATTCTCCAATCAATTCTGGTTTTTATTTTCGTTTCATTTTGATTGATTTCTTTTTCTCTCTCTTATAAGTCATTCCTTTATGGTGAAAAATAAGGGGACAAGAAAGGAACTGTTATGCAGGACTTACAAAAGCAGACCAGAGACCATTAGAAAATGCTGTAAAATAAGTATTTCAGAGAAAGTACTTTTCTTTGTAAAAAACACATTTTCATAGATTCTGTAAAGACGTTTGAATGGCCTCTGTGTCTGAAACATGTGATGTACACTAAATAAACTTGCCTTGCCTTTATTCTAGTCTTGTTTTTCTACATTTCCCCGAGAAGGCTACCACGCAAAGATTTTTCTCTTTAATGGTTGTTCAACAAAAGAAAAGAAAAGAAGAGAAAAACACAACAACCTCCACCAAGCTTGCTTGATGGATTTGCTGTACAGCAAACCAGGCATTAGTAGCTTTCAGGACATAATAGAGTTTGAATGTTTGTGGGAGTGTGTTTTGGGGGACCTCAGTGAAAATCGAGACCTAGTTATTGGAACCATGTTGTAATCATTTGGTCCTGTGATGAAGAACAATAACTCAAAGCCGCCCTTTGCTCAAACGCGCGGATGGAGGACTGTCCTTGGTCCTGTGAAAACAAACATCACCTCTGCGTCTCATAAGTCTCCCGCTATCACGGAGGATGGTGATTTGATATTGATTAGGTTTCATGAGAGCCCACTGCTCATCTAGCTTATTGTTCCAGGGGACAGAATGGAGGTTTGTCCTCCCCCGAGTCTTGTGGCCTCGTGCAAGTCATATTATCTGCTTCATGGCAGCCTGTGCCCTGAATCTACGATGGGGCTCATGACTCAGGCGCCACGTTGCGGGCTTGATAAAGCAATTATTTCCCATGGCCCTGCGGATTGAGACAAAACTTTCCCATCTTCACTTTGATGCCTCTGCGTCTCTCCTGTGTCTGTGGCTGTAGTTGTGGGTCACCTCGTGGGCCGTGAGCCGTGGTACAGTATGTAATTAATGCGTCCCGTCACCGCGGCGACGGGAGCGGCTCGCGCAGCCCCCCAGTGGACTTTAGAGGGCTGCTCTTACTCTTCAGCCGCGAGGGCACGAGGTCACTGGCATGTGTGTGCTCTGCTCAAAACGTGCTCATCCCATATTCATGCTGGCTTTTGCAGGTGCTGATCGAGGCCACCGTTTCCAGGGAGCGGCGCGGCTACATTGCCTTAGACGACATCATGGTGCTCAACTATCCCTGCTGTAAGTGCCACTTCTTACACAATGCGCTGCAGGAAAGAAGGTATTTAATGACGGGGGAATGTATTTCACAGCGGCATAAAAACGGAGCTGGGATTAGGGGGAAGAGTAATCGCCGATTGACCTTTTACATTTGCTTTGCAGGTTTTCCTGCGGCTGCAGCAGCTCTTTAAAATGCCTTAACCGCCCCCCTTCCACCTGAGCTCACACCTGTCTCTGAGCCTCCGGTGTGCTTTAATGGCCAAATATATATCTTAATCAGTGTAATCTTATCTGGCCTCTCTGAACGCTCTTCCATCTCTTGTCCTGCTGTGGGGGAGAGGAGGCAGGTTTTGGGCATGTCACGCTCCTTTACGGCACTCGTTTTTTTAAAGCTTTATGTTCTTCTCTGCGAATGGCTCCCTTGTCAGCTGTGGAAGCAGTTGAGTGTGTTCTCAGCCCCCAGAGGACCTTGTCTAAAACGGAGCCGGTGAGGTTTAATACCTGGACAAAGCCCCTCACTGTCACTGACACGCTCCCGTGCAGCCCGCGGCCGAACACGGGGCGTGCTGTCAGCACATCTAACGGCCACCGTCCACACCTCCGCCGGACGATTTCACAACCGCTCCGGAGATATTTCCTTCTCACGGGCATCTCTGCTGTCTCCCTCTTAAAAAAATCGGTGTGTCCCCATTGTAATCAAAGGAGGAGCGCTTTGATTCTGATTGAGGCTGACTTTTCAGGGTCGCCGCATTACAGAGGATACCCCCGGTGATTTTAGGAAACAAACACCAGCTGTGCGGTATGGTAGCCCCCTTACTGTATGCATACCACCCTGTCGGCCACCCTGTTCCTCCCCGACACAGCAGATGGCATCTTCTCAATGCTCCCACAGTGGCCATTAAATAATTAAGACTCTCATCAGGACCTGAGCACGCCTTATGATGTGGCACATGGCCAGCCGCATCGCTTGGCAGAGAAGAGTGTGTGGGGGGGGGGGGGCGAAGGAGGAGGGAGAAACCAAAGGAAAGCGTTGCATTGTAAAAGATAGAATAAACTTTTAGAAAATGTCCTCATTATTAATTCTGGTTAAAGCGTGGTTGACATTTCGGTCCTATTCTCCAGAGTCACAGTCTTTTGACTCCGATACCAGTGTTGCAGTCCAATGAAATATTTAGCGCGCTAAAGAGTCCTGAGGATAGGACCTGACACATTTAACAGTGCAACTCCGCAGCTTTAGCCAGCTGTAGGGCGTGTTTCCCTCCGCTCGCACTCATTTCAGTGTTTGTTTACCGAATGTTTGGCTCTCAGGCATGAATTATGGATCATCCTTTTGGAGGGAGACTCACTCAAAGGAAACACGGCCACATGTGGGGTGCAAATTCAAGAGCTTTCCCCGGTCTTACTGTACACAAACAAGATAAAAAAATTGCCATCGACTTTGCTGCAAGATAGCAACGCGATGTTTTGCTAAAGCAGGCAGGAGATGAGTGAGAGCCAAACGTTTGTTTTTCCCTGATGCCTCAGCGTCACAGCTCCTCCTGTCAGTCATTCGGAGTGGCACGGTGACTCGTCCTACCCTGTTTAGAAGAGATGGCTGCATTTACCCCACCGATTTGGCTCCGGAAGGGATTCGGTTCTCGCTCCCGCGTAGTTAATCGGAGACTTGGGCGAGAGGACTACTCTCACATGCTGACTCATCGGCAGCTATGCACAGCATGCTGGGAAGTTACCAATCAAACTGTGGAAGGCTGATGCTCAGTCCATGGCTGCTCCCCTTTACAGCTCACTCCTACATATTGCTCATCTACAGACTGAATTTACTTTTAGCATCTTATTTTCGTGATGGATGCTAAAGACGTCCCAGCCTCAGTCCTCCATTAATACCAGTGCACTCTGCAAAAAGATTTAGAAGAGTCTCTTTTCAGTTTTCTTAGTTTAGTTTCCCTCTACCTAATTTTTACTTGTAGCTGCAGGTTTAGCAGATGCTAAACATGAATAGCAGCAGAAGAGGAGAGGATAAGTCTTGCAAACCAACAACCAAATAGAATAAAATATAACTGTCGCTAAATTATGTTTCTTGTCAAACGAAGGTGAGCCAAACGTGGCTGCTCTCTACAACCGAAATGCTTGGAATTCTTCGTTTTGCATTTGAGAAACCTAAAAAAAAAGCCTTGATATCAGTTGCTCAGTGGCGTTGCGAATGGTTAAAAGGCATTTCAGCCTTTTGATATCACAATTTTTCCCTCTCTGTCTGTCTTTTCAGATAAGGCGCCGCACTTCTCCAGGCTAGGAGACGAGGAGGTCAACGCGGGGCAAAACGCCACCTTCCAGTGTGTTGCTGCAGGAAGGGCCTCAGAGGCCGAGAAGTTTCTTCTGGAGGTTAGTACTTTAGTGATGAAGTTTAACGTAAAAAAAAACCTGTGTGTGTGGCGGACGTGTGTGAGTTTGCTGCAGTTTTTTGCCTTTAACACAGTCACCAGAACTGCTTTGGGTCAACTCTGGAAATACCTGCCCAGACTGCAGAGACTGAGGAGAGTCAAAATTCGTAAAACTAGATTTTGCAGCCGCTGATGCATATGAACCCCAACCCAAAGTACCATCAAGGGAGTATGCAGAATTGGTCAGAAAAGGCTGAAAGGACCTTTTAGTACATGCCGAATTAGCAGAAGGTTTTATCTTCCACATAAAAAGAAAGGAACTTAGTCACCTTTATTGAAAATACATCTTCTACATTATTTTCAGTCCCTTCTTTTCTCATTATGTTTGCTTCACATGTTCCGTATTTATTTTTTCTCTTCAGTCATTTGATTGTATTTCCAGCCAGATGTTTTAACTGTCGCTTCGAAGGGAGGCTATGGCTCTGGGGCATGAGTCTGGACATGTAGGCCTGCTCACTCAGGCGATTCATCAAGTTAATTTGAAGATTTCATTCCAAATTACAATCTTACAAGTGGAACGTATGACCCTAAATGACCAGCACAACAAGGTTGTGTCTGTTTTTGATTCATCATGAACCTCCAGTATTGCAAGCGCTACAATAAAGATGGCCCACAGAGGTGGAGGGCTTTGACAGACCTTGAAGCCTCCAAACCACACAGCTTTGGAAAGTCTGCTCTTCTTGGAGGATTCCTCTGCTTTCACCGCCGCATTCGTTTAAATCATAGGCTTTATTTTGATCCACTTTGGTTTATTGTATAAAAGTCAGTTTTTCACTCCTCATGTGGTCCTGATTATAGAACCAAATGGCACCGCTTTAGGGCTTCCCCCCCTGTTTCCCATCTCAGGCTGCAGGCACCGTGCAGCCACACACCACACGCCTGTTCCAACATCTCACCACCCAGCACGCCCAGTGGTATTCGTGGTTGACCTAGGCAAGCCCACGTTATTGTTTAAAACGAGGAGGCATGTGATTGGGGTAATTGAAGTGTCCTCGTTCACACCTCTCTGATCAGCCCCCCCATTTGGCCACAACACAAGAATGAAGACAAATGCTTTGGGTAATTAGCTGACATACCCATGCAGACGCCTGCTGTAATGAGATCTCCAGACCACTGGAATGTTTCTTCTTCTTGCTTGTCTTCTTCAGCCGTCCTCTTTTGGAGCCGTTCTTCATACAAATCGATAGTTTTGCGTTGTGCGCCTGCTGTGTTGCTCTAACAGCTGCAGATCAGGCTTAGCCGCTCACTCAGACCTGCTTCGCAGATCATTTTGTCATTTCCCCACCAATTAGCTACAAGCATGATTGTTTTGCTAGCATGAAGGGTTTTCGCACTTGACTGATCACGATTTCTTCTGCCTCCACTCTATAATCCACAAGGAAAAGGAAGGTGTGCAAGATTCAGGGAGGGCCCCGGAGGTGTGATTACGTTCCATTTAGATATTCCTGTGGCTTTGAGATTGGTTGTCCGCTTAACCCTAATCAGTGGTTGCGTGTTTATATGTTTGTTTGCAAAGATTCGGTCGGAGGCTTTTGTGGTCAGTTGTTGCTTTAAGTGCCTCACATTAGGGCTAGAACAGAAGCCAAGATGGCCCTGTTGATCCCAGTCTGCTGGCTTTGGCTTTGGGTTGTGTTAAAAAAACACTGGCCAATAAAAAATGTCGTCGTTCATACAGACCGCTTCACACAAAGACAATTGCCTGGGAACGTGAGGAAAACAACAAAGCAAAATCCCGTCAGATCCTGTGTGTTTTTGCAGAGATGGTGTGGACTTGACAGATGCTATTCGTTTTAATGGTGTGGAACAATGTGAGAAATGCCCCACACCATGCAACCGTGAAGTTAGGCAAAAAAAAGAACAAACATTTATTTGAATCTTCATCTCTTTCTGTGTTCATCTCCTTTGCACTTTCACCATTTTTCTCCCTTAAAGCCCATCTCACTTTGTTTATCTTCTGTTGCCGCTTTTAAATCCTCTGCTTTATGCTCAGGCGAGCACATATTTGCACTCTTTTTCTTTTAGATACAAACCAAAGTTTAAAGTCTCTGCTCTATTCATCTATTAGTGTTTGTTCTAAACTGATTAAACCTTGATGAATTAAAGCCAGCCTGGCTTCCAGTTCAAACCGCTGAGCAGTTAAATGTTTTCTGTGAATAATGTGGCATGCTGAGGATGACTGAAAATGTGGATTGGCTCCATTAGGGAGGAACACTCATGACATTCATTACCCCAATAATCAGTATTATTTTAACAAGATTTCATTTGTTTTTATTAAAGCATGTCTGATTGTCACAATGCAAGATTCAATCAGTTAGATGAGCCTGCAATTCTAATTAAATTGTATACAATTGGACAATTCTCCTTTTTAATCACACTGCTCTAATAGGAACTGACCCATGCAGCAATAACTCAAGTATGCATTGTTACATTATTAGCTTCATGTCCCTCGAGTTCAGTAGGCAGCAACTGTGTACTGATTGTGTGTGTGGGCCTGTGTTATTGCAGGAGACTGGGTGTATGTATGAGCATGTATAGTATACAATAGTACACACACACAACATGATAAATCAGTCTTTGAATAATAAGTCTGCAGCGTACATGCGTGGAAGAAAAGGAGGAAGAAAATAAAGAAAGGGAAAGAAAAAAGATGGGAGACATTTTATTGACCTTTTCTATAACATTTAACAGCCTTACTTATACTAATCATATTAGAACCTCCTGTGTCGTTTTTTGATAACCAATAATTGATAGAAACAGTTTGACTAAATGAGTCAGCGAGACTGTTCTAGAGCCTAATGGGACATCCTCCAGTTTTATGACTGAATAGAAGCTTCCAGGCATGGTGGGTGCTGCTCAAGAAACATCGAGGAAACATTTGTATTCTGCTGACCTTCAGGCCTGCATTACAAATAGGGGACACTGAATCTATGAGATGTGAGCATTTATCATGCAAGTGGGGATGGTATAATGAAGAGACTTTATCATGCTGGATTATGGGCCATGCAGCATCTCGGTTTTTGACACCTTATCCCATTCAAGGAGTCAGCTGTCTGGATATCTGAGCCTTTAATTTCAATATTTTAGTTGTAAATCCCCTAATCTAATGGACATTTATATAGTGTCCGGGTGTACATGAGTGGAAATCTATGTTTCTGTGTGGCGACAACCTGAGATGACACACTCATGAGAGGGATAATATGATAACCCATCTGGTTTTTCTCGAACCCTGTCCTCTCCTGCTTTCCAGAAACACAATGGGGACATTTTAACAACGGCGTCAGTCAAGCACCTGAGTCATCGGCGCTTCGTGGTGTCTTTCCAGCTAGACAGCGTTCAGCGTTCCGATCAGGACCTTTACCGCTGTGTCACTCAGTCCCCCAGGGGCTCCGGAGTCTCCAACTTTGCTGAACTCATCGTCAAAGGTAACCCCCCCCCCCCCATCCCCCCTCTTACAGTTTTGGTCTCATCTTTCTATCCTTTCCCTCTCCAAACTAAAATGAAGTTGGCTGCCATTTTGGAATCGTTTTATAACATGTTTTCATACACAATTTCCACTCGTTGTGTAGATGGTATGCGCAGACTGTGTTGAATGGAGTTTTGAGCTGGGATTGTCAAGTAGATTTTCATCTCTCAGTCAGAAAGCTGCTCACTTGACTTGGTCTCTTGCAGCCGCTGCCATATCATGAGCCACAGACGGTGACCTCACTCTCATTACTCAGTACAACCCCACAGCCCGACACCACTTTGACAGTGTGGTGATGACATGGCAGCAGAATAGTCTGATGGCGTTACCAGACTCCAGCCCCGAGCTAAGTGATGGGAAATAAGCACATCCCCTGCTCTGATCTCCTGTTGTTGATTTTTCAAAGACCAATAGGAGAGCAAAAGTGCATGGGACACGTGCAAGAAAAGGTTTTTAGCCTTGTGTATGCCAGTACTTTTTGCTCACTTGATTTTTTTGGCCTGTCTGGTTCAGAGCACAAAGAGTGTGTATGTTACCGATCAATTTTAAAATTACCTTATTAAATTTGTTCTAGAATTTGAGCTTTGTTAAATAAGAAACAGTGAGTAAATTTGTGGAAATAAAAGTCACACGCCTGTCATTCTCAGCTGTATTTAAGCCTAATTTGAATTTGCATCGTGCTAACACGGCAAACAAAAAAATTACCCATGCCTGTAATCACCAGATTAAGATTGTCGGTGAGCGTGTTGACATGCAAATGTTGACATTTTGCTCAAAGTGCTGCTGTGCCACAGTTCAGCCCCACAGAGCAGAACTGGCTGACAAAGACTGTAGATCCTGAGTCTTAGGCTGTTCCCACATGAACCAAATCCCTCTCACTGCTACAGAAGCATGGGTTGTTTTTTATGCTGTGATAACATGATAACCTCAGTCCAAAGTGGAGCCCTCCCCTCCAAACCCTGAAGCCATCAACTGCTATTAAGTGAATTCAGTGATAGATAGCCCTTAAAAAAAGGGGGGAAAAGGAGTAGGATTTCTTTGTCCTCCCTCTCCCTCCATGTTCATTATGTCTCTGTGAGACTGTGGCTTCCACTATTTTGTATCCCTGGCAAAGCCGCACCACAAGTCGAAATAAGTGAGAGCTACAAGTTATATTCAAGCCAAAAGGATGTAACCCTTAATGTTAATAGGCTTAACAAGAACTTCATTAACACCTTTGACCTCCGCACAGCGCCAAGAAGTGCCTCGTCGTCGTTTTAATGAGATAGAGCAGGTCTATTTAGTAATGCGAAAAGGATAGAGGAATCATGATGAAACTCTCTTATTTCTCCACAGTGAACAGTAGTGACATGATTAAACAAACATGGCCATGTTTATCCATAAGTGTCTGGCTTTTATTACAGCCCCACTGTACTTCTGTGTTTGACCCTGAACACAGTTGAAGAGGAGCTTCCAGGGCTTCTCAGCGTCTCGAACCATACAACTTAATGAAATCCTCAATTTAACAGAAAATAGCACTCAGTAAATGTGTTGCTCTGGAGAAACAGCAACTGTTAATTTATAGAGATAAATACGACGCGAAAAATAAAATCGTTTGCTGCAAAAAGAAAAAAAACAGCATGTTTACAAGATCTTGGAACTTACAAACTGGGATGACGTGAGTGAGTTGTTTAAAATATAATCACACTGTCCACTTGCCTTTGGCCGAAAGTTGTCCTTTTATCAAGGATTCAGTCAACCTGAAGATGAGCTGCTGCAGGCTAAGAGAAGCAGCACAGAGTATCACAAAGGTAAGATTTCTGGTAATGTTGAAAGCCCACAGGAAGGAAGGCCATAAAAGACAGAGGCGCCTCTGCTGGAATGAAGGATTAGTCACAGCCACAGATCCCACTCTGATCTTTTCTCCTGCTTTGTCCTCGTTCCTTTTCCATTCCCATCCCTCACTCACACCGTTGCCCGTGTAATTGTTCAGTGGCTCGGATCTGCCTGTAAGTGACATTTGACCGCTGGGCTGTGGGATTAATTCATGCTTTGGCAATCTTGTCCAACAGTGATGCAGAGTTTCCCTGTTTCCTGATGGTAAGCAGCCACAAAAAAAGCGTCTGCATGCATTATTTTCTTTGGATGCACAGCTGTTATTTTCAGTCACCATAGTGAATGCCGCGTTCTTGAGAGACTCCTCTAAGATTCACTGAGCTTAAGCACACTGAAGAATCTGTTTTTTTTGTAGGTGAACAGCGAAATGAAAACAATTCCTTTGCCCACCTAAACTCCGACAGAGCCCAGAAAATGTCTTTAACGGCCACAAACAGGATTCTGATGTTGAAAATGCAAAACAATGCTTTTGGTCTTCTCCGGCAGTTCCTCCGTCGCCCATCGCGCCGCCCCAGCTGCTGCGCGCCGGCTCCACCTACCTGATCATCCAGCTCAACACCAACTCCATCCTGGGAGATGGCCCCATTATCCGGAAGGAGATTGAGTACCGTGCAAGCCAGTCCCCGTGGTCAGAGGTGCATGGAGTGAACATGGTCACCTACAAGCTGTGGCACCTGGATCCAGACACAGAGTATTACATCAGTGTGCTGCTGACTCGGCCCGGAGAGGGAGGGACTGGTCCGCCTGGACCTCCGCTTGTGAGCCGGACCAAGTGTGCAGGTGAGCCCTCAGTGCCGTAGCATGGGTTCCACAAAACCTTTTAAATAAGGCATTGCATACTCATGATAGGTTTTGGCAAGTTACTTTGTGTTGTGGTAGTGTGTAGCAGTTGTACTCACGAATATGTTCAGCTCCAAGGATTGACAATGTTTCCATCCATCCATCCATCCATTGTCTATAGTACTTATTTCTGGTAGAGTCACAGGAGGGCTGAACCCTATCCCAGCTGACATTGCGTGAGAGTTCACATTTACTCCAAGGGGCAGTTTAGAGTCTTCAGTTAACCTAACCTGCATATATCTGGACGTGTGAAGAAGAAACCAGACTATCCAGAAAGAACCCTCTCGTACACGAGGAGAACATGCCATATACACATACACACATATACCCCCTCAGCCTTCATCAATATTGTATGCTGTTTATTTCAAACATACTCCATGGATTACCCTTGTTAGTAGAAAAAAAACAAACTAAGTTTACATTCACTGTACCTCAAAGGGCATTTTTCATCTTCAGAGCTTAACCAATCCACTGGGAACCTTACTATCTAATCTAGAGATATTACATGAAACAAACAACCGTGAGGCACAGTCCTGCTCTGTGAATTTCCGAATCACTGTAACTCACAATTAATATAAAACTTTTAAATTAGTCATGTAATAAAGTTAGTCTCTCAAAGATCCTGAGCTCAGCGTTTCAATACCCAGTTGCCACATGTCGAAACTTCAGAGGCTGAATCAGTCATGATAATCTGCTAAGAATTCAGTCACAGAGGGGCTGATAGACAAGCTGAATCAGTCTCTATATATGCCATATCTCATGGGGAAAGACATTTTTGTTTTATCATTGCTGTTCACTGAACTCTGAAGCTGTAGGAGATTTACTTTGATTGCCGCTTGCAATATCACTTTTAGGGTTAGTTCAAAGATACCAGCTTATTGGCTGATTAAAAGAGCAGCCTGGAGTAGGCTTCTTTGGTTTACACAGAGGAATGAAATGTGTGCGTAGAACAAATGGTCAAGAATTTTTGTCGGATGAAATCCTTATTGAATTGCCAGAGCAGTAGTTTGGTGATATAGTTTGAGTTACGGCTCCTGTGAGCTTGAGCGTGCTGATTGGTCACTTTTTCACTCTCTCTGTTACTGGCCTTCAACATGCACCCTATCATCTGTTGGAGCTCCAGCCCATCCCTGAGTGTTCTTCGTTGTTGTTCATTGTCTCGACTTATCTGGAAAAAAAAAGGCTTTCTCGTGGGATTTATGAGATCACAATCACAAAAGAGTCCACCTGGTCAGGCTTTGAGGTGTCACTTTAAACAAGTGTCTGGAATATTCAACGCTCCTTCCAGACAGCCACTGGCAGGCTTCCGGATTGGATCAGCACCGGGGCTGAAGAAGAAGGGACTCTTTAGCTGTGATGGTGGTGAGCTCTACAGCTCTGGGATGTTCAGGGTGCACTCCGTGTAGTTTGTTCTTATAACTCTGCAAACACACGTCACAAATATGTTTGAATTTGGTCAATGATCAGCATGGGATGAAGTGGAATAGAGCATTTGGAATAATTGTATTCCAATGGGGTTAATGAGTGAGCTTATTTATTTGTTTTTTTATCGCTACATGCTGCTGGACTTTATTACAGTTTTTTAGTGGCATGGCTGGGTATTTGGGGATAACAAATAGCTTATTGGTCCTTTGCTTGGTTAGGAAAACACATTTTTTATTTTAAAATAGATGTTATAGCTCTCATTCCATTGAATTCTTGTTCTCTCCTGGCTGCTAAACTTCTTGTTCTCCGTACTCAAATCATTGGAGCTCTATAATTTGTCACTGTACAGACACATAATACCCAAAGCGAAGAGCAGCATACCAGACAGGCCCATGCTAATTTATAGGTATATGTACATGTGGAGCAAAAGAAGAAGAAAAAAATGCTGCTTTGATGCACACGAACACACAAGAGATCCAGGCAGCCATTATCCGGCCCTGAATCCGCACTGTGTGTGTTGAATTGTCACAGGGACCCAAAATGGAGAGCTTTGTGTTACCCGAAGGCAGTCAGTGGATTCATGTCCTCCATGGCCATCACTCTTTTCTGTGCCCAATGGTCTCTCCCTGCCACACACTATCCCTCACATATCCTCCTACCCTGCTCCTGCACAGCAGTGTGGCCTCCTCTACAATGACATATTAAAGCCAGTCTCCTCTCCCAACAACCAAAGACACCCCTCATTCATCAGGCATTGTGAGTGAACTCACCGCTATCCCTGTCCAATTTAAAGAAAAAAAAACATTTGAAAAAAAAATAGAGGCAGGTGAGGAGGATGGATGGTGTAGAGTGAAACGAGCAGAACGTTTGACGGAAGCTGAAGCAACAGACGATTCGCAACAGATGGAAACTGCCCTCAGAGTTGTCTGTATCTGTGTTTTGTGAAAGTCACTAAACTCAGCGTTTAATGATGTATTTATATTTCAACCACTGTGGCATTAGGTTGTTCAGCCATGTGTGGGATAAGTAATACTCCTGTGTTTGCTGAGCTGTTAAGCAGAGCGTTTAAATGCAGCGCTTGTTCAGTGCCGAGGGTGTATGGTAGAAATTCATTTAGCTTGTTATTGTCCTGTGTGTTTTTCTATAGATAAGGGTAAAGTTGTGTTTGACTGATGACACGAATTATTTTCCTGTGGTGCACCTGCATCTCATTGCCTGCATGGCCTGATCAGATTTTACACCAGTGTGCTACACAGAGCTTTTAGAAACATGAACATTTTCTCGAGGGCTTGCATGCCTGTGCGTTGCCTGCCTTGACCCATCAAGCAAAGCATCTGGTCTACTGTACCCTGGCTGACCCCACATTGTACTACTGGATCCTGATCGTCCCCCTTGCTGTTGGCCTGATTAGGTTTAAGCACGAGAAAATAGATGACGGGGTTGCTCGGTTCGAACTCGGAGAGGTGATAATTATCAAGTGAACAGAAGGGACATTTGGACTCTCTTTGTGTTTAGGAGGAAAGTGGATTTCCTCTGTAAAATCTGTCCTGCCCACTGTGACTAATCTTACTTTTCTGTGGTCATGAGGACATTTCCCTCCGTCCCAAAAATGTTGACAACCTGCTTTATCGTACACACATACACACACCCCCCCTCATGGAGTTGAGCTGTCCTGGTGCGGAGGCTGTAAAACTAATGGCCGTGAATGTGAACACGATCACCGCCTGGCTCTGATGGCCATCCAGGTGTGCTTGATGAGCCATTTCTGTGATTATCAGCACGGTGCATTAGCACAGCTTGAAGCCCCTCAAGTAAATCACAGAGGAGAGGCAAGCATTTCTACTGCAGGTGGTCCCCAAACTATGTTAATGGGCCTCCACCTGCTGCTGGGTCACTGAACCTTCTGGAATGCCCCAGCCCATGATCATCTTGGTCTGTTAAAGGGAGAGAATACTGGAGCCCGGCTAATTTTAGGCACACAAGGAACACAAGTGATCTGCATATTATGGCAGGTCATTTATCATGTTTTCCATTTGGTGCCAGAACTCCTGACATTTGGACCTTTCTGATGTTTACTTTTCAACACAATATGGAGGCTCTTGAACTTGTTTTTTTAAGTCGGCCATTCACCCGGTTATTTTCTGCGTCGATGTCGGATCAGTTGAGTGGCTTTCCCGCAGGGTGACATTCACCAGCCTAGAAACTTAACAACACATTGGACTTAGTGCGAAACAATAGTTTGTTACTCTTCTCCATCTGGTACCTGGTTGGTCTGCCCGTTTGGATTTAGTTCCACTGGATAACACCTTTCCTCATTTAAAGGCAACTGTTACAGTGAAGGTTTACGTAAATGTTTTTTATCCCTCCTTAGAAAATGTAAAGGTAAATGTGTGATCAAACATACAATTTTGCTTCAAGACACAAACCAGTCTTAAAGAAGATGCTAGCTCCCTCCTGCTGCTCTCCAGTGTCACAGTTTTAGCCTCTGTAATAGACCATAACCTGTCTTGTCTATGCTAGCTTCCTCTATTCAAGGATCCAAATGGCGCTCTGGGCTGTTGGCCATGTCAGGATGGCAGCAGTTTTTTTGCTGCAGGGTGCCAGAAAATGGGTGCATGTGGGATGGACGAGGCAAGGGGGGGAAGGAGCTGGCACAAATGTCCACTTTGAGAAAGCTCATAATGAGCACACTGTGGCCTCTTTGGTGGTGCTTCATCAGCTCAGCAGTTAAATGCCTCTCTTTATTTAGCTCCCAGACTGCGCCGGCTATCAACTGCATCATTAAGACAATCCTGAGTCAGAGTGAACAATGGTGCATTAACATCTCTCACCGCGTGCAGAGCACTCCACTACTTTGCGATTACCGTGCCCACTCATTCATCTACCGGTCCCTCACTTTGGTCCAGGTGAGGGTCAGATCAATCCTCTGTCCATATTTCCATCTAATGTCAGACGCTTGACAGCAAATTAAAAGAAAAAGCTTGATGAGGGCCGGGGCTTTCAAGACAGATTTGAACTGTCATAAAATGTTGAGGGCTTTATCGCAACCAGTGAAACACAACTAAGAAGATGGAAGTACTGACGCTCCTGATAGATAACAGATTGATAGAATTAAACAACAGCCTCATACAATAAAGGTGGGTGTGTTTTTGTGTCCTTGCACAAGTTTAGAGTGCCTCTCAAATCCATTCTCTGGGATAATTCCTGCTTTAATGTATTGGTCTCTGCTCAGTGATGCATTATCCCTTTTATTCAAGTTCCCTGCACTAATCTCAGCTGCAATGAGTCAGTCCTGGAATGAAGACCTTGGCTAGCAACCTCCCCCATATCTCTGCTGTCATTCCCTGCCTCCCAAGCCCATTACTCAAAATGCCCTAATTAAAGAATAAAGCCATACACCACATTATGAAGCATGCAGCTTGACAAAAAAAGGCGTTGATTAGGTTAGTAATGGTCACTGATAAATGCCTCCATTGATACAGGATGTCCTTGGCTTCACTTGGCCTTTCGTCAGCTTTGGACGTCCTCCTGAACACTGGCTGGTCTGTGCCTCTGCGCACAGAGGCTCGCTTTATCTCAGTGAGCCGCCACGTTTGAGGGGGATATCAAAGACAGAGCTGTTAGTCTGAGTCAGACAAAGTCAGGGTTAACTCGTTGACGACCAGAATTAACTTGGTGTCTTCTAAAAATATGGGATCGGCCTCCGCGATGACCCGGCAGTTAAAGTGACCAGCAGAAGTGAACGTCCTTGCCAGACTCTGGCAGTTTTGTCAGAGGGGGATTAAACTTCAGGGCAAAGATGTGTAACTGCCGGGGAGTCAACTTGCTTTGTGACACAAGAGGAGAGGACTGGTGGGAGAGCGGCAGCCACTCACTGCCTGTCCTATTAATTAGCGCAGTTGGCCTGAGTTCCTGTTCCACCATTGGGGATGGGGGTGTGCTCTGCTGGCAGAAAACTGACCTCCATGCTGCGGCCAGTGGTGGCGCCAGAACATGGTGTGTCCAGGCTGAATGACTTCCAGTGGGTTGGCGCAGAAGCTAATGTCTTATTGTATTTCATGCATGCCACAAAGCTATTGGGCACGTAGTTGTTCTTTTTTTAAATCTTAGCGTTCTCATTTACATACACTGGGATGACTGCCACATGCTAGTAATTCATATTTATGTGGCATCTGATTTATTGAAATAGATCATTTTTGTATGTCGTGTTCAGAATTGTTGTTAAAAGTACCTTTTAAATGTACCTTTTAAAGTTCATGCTGTTAAATTAGTGTAGATATGATTTGCTTAGCTTTACTGTAGTCATTTGTTTGAGGATTCACCCATGAATTGATTTAGCTGTTCTTGAATTGGATTGTATGCTCTTTGTCAGTTTATTTAATTAAATCAGATTTAATTATCTTTATATCAGATTTTTTCCTTCCTCTCTGTACATCTGTACATGCTTGTTAGTCTATTGTATTTAAGATTTTTAATACAGTTAGAGCTTCTTTTAATTTTTCCACAATGCCTCTTTTTCTTGTCATTATTATTCATTTTTGCATTTGTCTTGCATTCAGTTTGCTGCTATACAAATTAAGTCTTACTGAATGATTGATTAACAAATCCAATTTCATGATATCTTTTACACTATTTCTTCTTTTACCCGTCTTCTTTTCCTCCTTCCTTGTCCTGCCCAGAGCCCATGCGTCCACTGCGAGGCCTCATAGCCACCGATGTCCAGCCCAGGCAACTGTCCCTGCAGTGGGAGAATCTGGCATTCAACCTGACACGTTGCCACACCTACTCAGTGTCCCTGTGCTATCGCTACACAATGGCTGGGGGAGGCGGAGGCCACAACACCACCGTACGCGAATGCCTGGCCGTAGAGCACAACGCCTCGCGCTTCACTCTCCGCGATCTGCCCCCGTACCACGGCATTCACGTCCGTCTGTCCCTGGCAAACCCAGAGGGGAAGAAAGAGGGCAGAGAGGTCACCTTTCAGACCGAGGAGGACAGTAAGTCCCGGTTGGAAATCATAGAAAAGAGAATGCAAAGTCAGTGTACAGAAATAAGTGGAACTTTTCAGTAGGGAATGGAGAGAAATTCTCACCTGAACAGTGATTGGAAGTCTGCCAAACACTTCAAAGTCAACCTGAACATTAATCAACACAACAATTAAAAATCAACTCAGTGTCAAGAGTACTTCATTTCTCACCAATCATCAAAACTATGGAAGAATGTTTTATTGTACAGAGCTTATACCTCTGTTCTTATAGAATGGTCCAAACTGCTGTTAACATCAGCATAGTATCAGAAAAACACATTTTGGACACAAAAACAAAAGAATATAACCTTGATATGAAGTTGGACTGTTGCAGACACATTCATTAGACTGTCCTAACAAGATGTCCCTACTCAGACGGAAGCCAGTGATTAATGCTAATGAAGTGCATTTGTATTCCTCGGTTATAACCGAGGAGTAACCTGTAATGTTCTGAAATGCTGTAAATTAGTCCAGATGACATCCTGTGTTTAATATGATGGGGTTAACGGTGCTATGGTCATGGATCTTTATCGTTAGCGTTTAAAGTGTAAAATCTACCATGCCATCCCGTTTGTTTATATTTTCTCGCTTTTAAGTGTCAGAATGAAAACTATCCAGGGCTGAAACTTTACCCTGGACTCTCACACTATAGTGCGCAAAATTAAGTAGTTAAAATACACGACATTATAAATCAACTGGATTTTGTTAATATTTTGTCAGTTTCCTCTCAATCCTCACCCCTTCTTCTCTCTTTCCTTCTCTTAGTGTAAATATTAAGGGACTAACTATCTGACTGAAAGTGAAGGAATCTCAAAAGATCTTTTTGTTTCAGATGAAAACAACATGAAAGGAAAAAGTCAGGCAATCCCCAGATGAGATTTTTTTGCCTCTTATCGCCCATTTTTCCTCTGTAGCTGCATATCGTCAGTAAGAGAGAAATCAATTCCGTCAAAAAAGAATCAAAACAAGATTTTTCTGAAAGCGATATAGACGGAGAGATGTAAGATCAGAGACAGAGCAGTTGAGAAAGCGAAATTTTTTCCCCCGCTTGCTTAGTTTATGATTAATATATTTTGTGTTTTAATGAACACTATGCACAGGTCTGAATAAGTACATTTATCGTCAAAACAAACAGTTATCCCAGCTGTGGGACTCCTGATTTAGCCTCAGGCCTGAGTCTTGCTTGGCAGCCTTCCTCTGTACAGTGCAACTTCATGGTTAAAAAAAAACTTTCTAAAGTTAAATAATCAGGCATTTACAGTCCTCTCACTCCTACTCAGATTCACATTTGCTGGCAAGCAGCTGATATATTCATTCAAATTTTTAATCTTTGACCAAAGATTGGTGTGAAATTAGATTTTTCCTCCATTTTGTCTCTCTCTCTCTGCGCGACAGACACATAATTTATGCTTTTTGTCAATTAATGGTGTTCTTATCTGATGTTCTCTGTCTGCCGCTCTCACTGTGGGTGTCTCATGTGGCACATTGTTCTGAGCTGCTGTGACATTCACTTCTGTGATATTGACAGGATAGGATCGTTGTAGGATCAGCACTTCAATTTCCCTGACAAATGTTTGCTTTGACGATTTCTCACAGTTCCCGGAGGCATAGCACCAGAGTCACTCACCTTCACCCCTCTGGATGACATGATCTTTCTGAAGTGGGAGGAGCCTGTCGAGCCCAACGGCCTTATTACCCAATATGAGGTGAGCTCACAGACACAGCTGTTTTAGCAAAGATGCTTCGGCCTATCAGATTGTAGTCAAGCAACAGAGATGTTACACGTTCATGCATTTGAACACTTAGTTTTTTGTTTGCCTTTCAAAAGTAATTTAATGACAACCTAACATCATATTACAGGATGTAGGAGTTTAAACATCCTCCAAATTTCTCTGAATGAGCTTGATCTCTGTCAGAGGTGTTACTAACGTGCCAGTGCTAGTAGATCCATCCATTGTTTAAAACTTTAACAAGGCAAAAACTACCAGGAATTGAGGGGAGTAAAATGAAAACTGGAGATGGGAGGAATAAGAGTGAAAAAGATACACGATTGACCGTTTTAACTCAGGCACTCACCGTCATGCCTGAAAAATGGCCTAGGTGCAACACAATAAGTTGGATTGCTACACACTTCTCATGTAATGTTGATGTAATGACTGGTTTGTTTGTTGTCAAATGAAATAAATTTGAACATACTGTGGCAAGATTTTTTCTGCTGCACTAGTTCTCACCGTCCATAAACTTTGATGTTTCGGATTCAGTTCTGTCTGCATTTGCTGAGTTAGTTTTTACTTTTACTCTCCAGTGCCATCTGTTGTGAGTATTTTTCCACTGTGTAAGAAAATGGGTTGTGACACGTCAGTGTGGAACTGCTAGAATTGCACAAGTGTCTATGTTTCAGAAGTGCCGTGTAGGTTAGTGCAAATAAACACGCTTACACAACACTCTTTTTAATCAAACTGCTGTTTTGTTTTCTGAATCAAAATGAACAGGAAACTTAGAGTTTTGTCAGCTTTTCGAAATGTAAAACTGTAGAATCAAGCGTCTGAGAAGTCACCCAAAGAGAACAAAAAGTTAAAATCTTAATACCTGTAATATAGGAAAACTGGAAAAATAAATGCGTTTTTATAGAAGCCTTCCCCCCGTGGTGCTCACCGTCAAAACTGGCTTTTGAATTACAGAGTGACAATGAAATCTGGCAGTAATCCAAGACGAAAACTCTGCCTGTAAGATGAAAGTGGCTTATCATCATGCTTTCTGCTCACAAGTTTAGAAGAAAATTGCTTCTTTTAACTTTAACCCTGCCTCTGATGTACAACAATCATACAGTCATTTTGCCCAGTATAAGATTACACCACCACGTCAGTTATTTCCCGTGCTGTGTGGAGAAATATTAACATGTCCATTTGGTGAATCATTTTCTGCATCACTGGCACGCAAGAGATTTAGTACAATGTGCTTAATCACCAACCCACCCCAGCCCATTAGCACATGGTTCACTATGCTTATATTTAAAAAAAATAGCAGAAAGGCTTGGAAACAGTCAGGTTGACCTTGTGCACAGGGCCTACACTTCACATTGCTTTAGTCCCATTGAAATAGAGCCTGGCACCGTTAATCAATAACTGGCATGCATTTGCTGTGCTGTAGGGCTTCCATTCAACTGCACAGGGATTTTATATGTACTGGAAGCCCACTGTCTGTGGTAAGCAATCAGTAGATTTGCCTGCCAATCATAAAATGACCTTTGATCTTTTGCAGTGTGTCACCTCAGGGATATTATTTAATGGGAAAAATAAAGTGGAGGATGCACAGGATCTTTTTTTTTTCTTTTTTCTCTCAGCTTATGTGCTTGTGTTCCTGAAGTGACAGAGAAAACGTTATAGGGTGCCCTGGAAGCCCACGGACTGCTGTGTTGTCCTGCTGGCCCTCTGCTTTGTTCCATGTGTTGTGTACAGTCTTATACTTCTAAACCCTGTGGTCTATCTGGGTTTAGTTTCTGAATAGTTCATTATTCTATCTTCACACCATTGAGAGTGCATTAAGCTCTTCTTATGATAATCAGCGAAGCCATGGCTTTGGCTTGTACACAGTGAATGTGTGTGTTCACATTCACAAGTGGATCTCCTCCAGCTCCTATGTGTGTCCTAATAGGCTCACCCAGACTGCATTAAGGTCACATTTAGCCCTCCTTTCTTTCCAAGAACTGTCCATCCATCCATTATCGTAACCGCTTATTCCCTAATGGGGTCGTGGGGGGACTGGAGCCTATCCCAGCAGTCAATGGGTGAGAGGCGGGGTACACCCTGGACGGTCCGCCGGTTCATCGCAAGGCCACACAGAGACACACAAGGACAAACAACCACTCACACTCACTACTACAGGCAATTTGGAATGTCCAATCAACATGCAGGTTTTTGGACGGTGGGAGAAAGCTGAAGAACCCTCTTGCTGTGAGGCGATGGTGCTAACCACCACAACACCTCTTTCCAGCAACTTAAAGTGAAATTCTCAGCGGGAACACAAAAGGCAAATCACCTACTGATTGTTTTTTTTAAGGTTTTTAAATTAGTGCTAAAAGTTTTTTAAAATAATGTTATTCAGTCTTTGGCCTCGCAAATGCAGTTATTTGACAGGTAATCATTTACCACTCAAAGTAATTCATAAAAAAACGCCAGCTCCATCCCTGTCCATTTTATGTTACAATGCCTGTACAATTTATGTTCTATTAATATAAAATGTTAAATGAAGTGTGACTAATCAGCACAACCACTTAAAGGCCCTTATATTTCTTACTCAAGTGCATGAAATATAAAAACTTATGCTTGGGTCTTTGTGTATCAAGTTAATGACCCTACTTGAATAATAAAAAAAGAAATGCCAAATCAATGCTGGTACGACTTGTTTTTCTTTACTATGTTAACAGAGTTTTTTTTTTTCACCCCCCCACCCTTCATCCGCAACCAGATCAGTTACCAAAGTATCGAGTCATCTGATCCAGGCATCAATGTCCCGGGGCCCAGGAGAACAGTGTCCAAGCTTAAAAATGAGACCTACCACATGTTCTCCAACCTTCACCCTGGAACGACTTACCTGATCTCCGTGCGAGCACGTACAGCCAAGGGCTTTGGCCAGACTGCACTTAAGGAAATCACCACTAACATCTCAGGTATGACCTTAGAATAGATCAGTGCCATCCATCACTGTCTGCTATTAATGTGGAGATAAGCATAGACTGTACATGAACAATGTACACGTGGAATGTGGTTTGTGGTTGTTGGTATCTTGGTGTGGATTGGAGATTAAGTGACCACATTTGGACAAGATAATGGTGTTTCAGAGTGATACTGGATACTGACTGGACAAAAATATACATGGAGTTCCTATTCAGCCAATCAAAGTGCCTGACCAATCATGTGTCTAATCTTTCAACCATCAGGCCTGTGTGCTGCCCAGCATCAACGCAATTCCTCCAAAACAGTTGTTGATGCTATTTCATGAGAAGTATGAGGGTCAATGTTTACGAGAGGGATAATTATACTCATTGCTTGATGCAAGCAGTGGCATCAGGATATTATCGACAATTTTCTATGGAATAATAGGTGCTTTTTTAGACTTCAACAGTTCTTTTAGTTTGTGGACACAGACGCAGGTTGTTTAGAGACAGTGATTGCTCATCATCTGAAAGGTTTGTGATCTCTAACTTGACCACTAGATGTAAAAAATCATACAGGTTTACTTAAATTGCCCTTCCTCAAAGTTTTCACATCTCAGATCAGGTGGCTGTTTCTATGAGCAGTCTTCTACAACACTAAGTTGTCAACCACTGTGCGCTATAATTGGGATTTGGGAGTTCTCTCTTTTGACCCCTGTACCTTCCTCCCTCTATAAAGCAAATCTGCCTCTTCAAACTAGTGGCACACTGTCACTTTTTTATCGTCCTTTCCTGTCATGAATTAACATAAGAAGCAGAAACCGTACATCACTAAGAACTGAACTTCATTACTGAGAGCTTATTGTCATTTTTGGGAGTTCACACTTACGTTATGTTTTCCTCTTAGTGATTTATATTTACTTTTTAAAGGTGTGTGACTACAGTATTAGCACAGAGCAGAACCACTTCACCTCCCCCCTTATTCCCTTCTTCAGCCCTCATCCCTTTACAAGGAGGTTTGGTCAGTTAAATTACACACGCAATTCACAGTCCTATTGGCTGTTTGTCATAGAGAAGTCTGTCATAAACCCCAGACCACATATACAGTCTGGCAGTCTGCGTAGATCATCCTCTTCCTCCTTCACTGGTCCACATTGCAGAACATTCACTTCCAGTGAGTGTCTCTTAAATCTTCACTGACAGCTTGCAAACACACAACACTTTCAGCAGCCACTGCTGTCAGCATCTTCAAAGAACACCCACCTCAGAGTATCTGACTACATTCATTTCCTCATTTGCATGCACATATACATTCAGATGTGTGCACAGCCATGGCTAATACACTATTATCCCTCAGACAGATTCTGGACCTGGCAGCAGGCATCAAACTGTCTTTTGGTGCCACAGACCTTTAACGTCAACAAATGCACTTCCACTTTTCCTGAAAACCACGCCTTAACAGATGCCAGCTCTTTGCTGCTGTGGTATTAGCGAACTGCTTTTTATTTTCAATGTGATCATTTTCTGTGCCTTATGATTAGTTTGCTCTCCTTCCCCTCACTAATTGACTGGTGATATTATCAAGAAATGTGGCACCACATCTCCGTAGGGGTGCACGATTTGAACCAAATCCTTCCAAATTAAGAGCCTATTTAATTTAGCCTCGCTTGTATGATTTTTGATTGGGGTTGCTTCCAACACAACTCAAAGAGGTAGCCAATCAAGTCTGAACACACAGAATGGACTTTCGGAAAGATTTAAAAAGCGTATCAGCTTAAGTTTTTTCTTTATACTTCTCACTATATACTACTTTATACTTCTTTTTTATGTGAAAGTCTTTTTTTAACAGTCGCACTTTTACGTCTCCTTATTTGTGACCACAGCACCTACATTTGATTATGGAGACATGCCATCCCCCCTGAGTGAAACTGAGAGTACAATTACCGTGTTGCTGCGCCCCGCTCAGGGCAGAGGAGCACCTGTTAGGTGAGAGCTCCACTAACGTACACACCACATCATCTTCATAATGCCAACGGCTTGTCAAAGCTGCGCATCTTTTCCGTCCGCAGCACGTACCAGGTGGTGGTTGAGGAGGAGATGGTTAAGAAAGTCAAACGGGAGCTGGGGCTTCAGGAGTGCTTCCCGTTGCCCATGTCGCACAGCGAAGCCCAGGCCCGGGGCACTCCACACTACTACACCGCTGAGCTGCCTCCCAGCAGCCTGCCGGAGGCCAGTCCCTTCACTGTGGGCGACAATCACACTTACAACGGTTACTGGAACAGCCCGCTGGACCCCCGGAAAAGCTACCTCGTCTACTTCCAGGCCATGAGCAACTTCAAAGGGGTGAGTGACTAAACTCCCGTCAGTGATGCGGCAGATCTGGCAACACTGTCAACATTTTTGCATCCCGAGTCATTTTGAGCCTGCGATGACTGCTGGTAATGAGCATCTGTATTTACGGCTCTAATAATGTGGTTACTGCTGCAGGACAGCAGCCATTGTCTGGGTTCATAACCCCTTGAAACTGAATTTATTGATCAGGTGGTTGTTGAATGAAAGAATGAGCGGTGAGTGTTTGTATCCCACCACTTTGATTCTTTGCAAACAAAGCATTTGGAAACATGAATTACTGCACGCTTTCCTGACAGTCAGCAAAGCTGTGATTAGCTGGAATTACTCAAAGTAAACAGTATACTTTACACCAATCTATTTGCCTTTCAGTTTGAATCTTTTCATAATTTTGTCTTGTGCTTCCCCTCTCTGTCATGTCACAACAGGCCCTTTTTTTACTCGATGTTCACCTAATGAAGTGATTACCGGTGAAATCCAACCATGATCAAGGGTTGTTGTTCACCATGACAGGAGACCTAAACCAAACTGAGTGTTTACAAGACCGGATTTCTGTGGAATTGAAAAATACCTATGTGAATGTTTGTTGTTGTGTTGGTAGAGAAATAAGGTCTTATTCCATTGTGCTGTTCCCGTCCATGCCATCGTCTGTCGAGACCTTCAGCGTTACCAGGGGATTGCCACATTACCTTTTCAAATTCCATTACTAGAGGAGCTGCTACCTCGGTGAGGCAATTACTTAGGGATAATTGGGCACAGGTGCAGATGATCAGAGGAAGAAATCTGCTGCTTTAATATTCACAGCCTGGCAATATTGCCATAAAGCGTTGCTGTTGGTAACTCAGCCTTCTATTAGCAGCTGGCCATAAATCACCAGTCTCTGTTTTACTATTTGAATTCTCTCCGAAACTGTCTCTTTTTCTCAATTTTCTTTTCATGGAATACGTGTTATAAAGTCCCACGAACAGGCCTGGGTGGCTCATGCCCACCGACACCATCTTTTTCCAACTCAGTGGAGAAGCACATGAAGGGAGTGCAGTGTGAGCACTTCACACAACTGGGCTGCTAAGAATGGGATTAGACCGGGGAGGGCCAGGCTTTACCAACGGATGGGATTATGTTTTGTTTGGCCTGGCAGGGGGCCAGCATCCTTGACCCGCGATGAGGGGAGTACGGTGCCAATTCAAAGAGCCAGCACAGTCCTCAGTCTTTCAACACTGCTGCCTGTGCATGGAAATACAGTAACAACTCGGCACGGCAACGCCTGGTCCGGTCGTAATGAAACAGCTCTTCTTGAATTAGCAGCAGTGTGGCTATGAGGGCTGGAGCTTTGCTCTTTGATCTGGCTATGGTAACGTTGTCTGTGAGATATTGCTATTTATCTCGCTTTAGATTTACATTTTTCAATCTGTTATGATACATAATGGCAGCGGGAAAGCTATGCATGTAGGAGCAGCTGTTTGAACCTTCCAAAGTGCAAGCATAGCCTATAATATGACAACAAATCTAGATGGGTTAAAGAGGAGAGGCCTTGAATTGGAAGAGAATGAAGGAAAGGAAGGAGAAAAAAAACAAAGTGAATATAACGGGTAAGCACTGTAAACATGGATGGTTCACAGAGGGCTCACCCGAGAAGCTAAACATCAGCTGCTCATCGACAGAACTGTCACTCCAGAATGTAGGATCAGGCACAGAAATCTGTGCACCTCCTGATTTATTGACAGGAGGGCTTATGGCTCCAAACTATTGTACAATAGAATGCTTGGAGCTTTGCAACATCAACTAGCCCCCAAGAACCTTTTTTTTAAGAAGTCAGAGGTCCTGTAGAAGACAACCCTGGAGGCCAGCTCCAAGCCAATTGCACAACTGTGGATACATAACCAAAGTTGAGTATCTGCAAAGGGGATGCTTTGTCCTCAATACTGTTCAGCATAGATGGAATCACAGGATGGAATCTGTTCTGCTACCACCCATTCTTATTCCATTCTTATGATGGAGGAGAGTAGGGGACTACAACCGAATATCCTATGACATCACTCGTGTGTGGCACTTAACACGACTCAACAAGGGATTGTGGTAACAATGTATGACACCTCACTATTGGATGACTTACCATTGAACCTCTTGATGATAATAACAATACTAAAATAACCTGTGAAAGCGTCGCTGTCATGACTTATCCAGTGACATTACTCACTGAGCCAATCAGTGGTCTGCAGTCCATAAACGTCATGAGACGGATAAGATCCAGGAATGCATTTGGCAGATAGCGATCTGAAACTTAGGGGTGGCGAGGAAAAACCATCAAGGAAGGATAAGCCTCCGCACAGCAAGTGTCACGGACAGACTGATGGAGTGGAAGTCCCTGTGGAATCTGACAGAGCTAAGATCCCGTGGGACTTCCAGATTCAGACTGGTTAACAGGCGATGACTAACCAACTGGACAATAAGGGGATTAACCAACTGCAGTCCATGACCAAGTTAACTAATGTTGGCTTGCTTTTCTGGAACTGTCTGTAAAGGAGGGACAAGTCCCAAACCCGCAGGAAAGGGGCCATCGAGGACTATAGGTGCCCACCTCTACTCCAGTTAGATTAGTAACGTAATGCACCGTCTTAGTGTATTTGTTCGACCTGCCATGCAAACAACACATCACAGTACTGAACAAATGACACAACAAAGGCCGAATCATCCGACTCGCCGAGGTTTGCAACAGCGAAAAAGTGCAAGAATAAAAAACTAATTCACAGGCAATCATGCTCATAACAAACAAACAAATCAAGCATCATTACTCATTTTCCATCTTAATGGCATTATTAGCATTTCAGAGTGATAATTGCTCACTCCAGAGCTCTGTTTTACGGTGGTCACATTCAATAAATAAAATAGGCTACAAAATAGATGTTAATATCTGGCTCATGCCACCTGTTTGGAGAAGGAATATTTCAGTAATTACCACCTGTTTGGTTGTCTTTTGTATTACACTGCTCATCCTTCATGCGTCACATTAAAGGGCAAAAAAGAGAGAATTTTTGCATTTCAGCTTTGCATAAAAGCTTTTAGGACATGCATTTAGCAGAAGTATACATTTTGAGAGGATTGTACATGTGCAGATACATAATTATGTTTAGAGGCAAAATAAATCCTCAAAACAAAACAAAAAAAACTAAACAGATCTTCCACTCAAAGGTGGCATGAAGTGACAGTAGCTCCCCCCTAAGAAAGAAAACGTTGCATATGTACAAGTACCCAACAGATGTTGATGATAGGTTTCTGCATATTAAAGTTGTTTTGAAGTATCATATTTGGTAATTACTTTATGTGTTTGCGACATCAAAACTTTATTAAAATGTAAACAGAATTGTCAGCTTCCTTTTAATCGCACTCCTCATTAAATCAGTGTTTGCGTGGTCACTTTTAGTTTGTGTTTGTCTTTTGTGGAAGGCAAATATAACATGTTTAAACAGTGCATGGGACAGATAAGTGTATTTGGAGCCGTCAGGAACCACCAGCTGCTCTGTCATACACTTCTGACTGGCACCGCATGGAATGACATGTGATGTTTTCCCACAATCTGGTGCTTGCCAATTAGCTGTTCTGCTGAGTTGGTGCACAATGATTTACTCGTGCGTTACAGAACGCCACTCTATCCATGACAGCAGCCTATTTATTTTCCACAGCAAATATAGCTGAAAATGTATCAGTCTTAATTTGCCAAAGCTGGTAATGATTGAATATATGACTGATTGAAAAAGCTTTTAAGGCAGGTTCAGATGAATCAGCTGTTTTGCTTTTATGGAAGAATAATGTTTTATGTAATTCTGCCTCCAAAGCTCAAAGTCACCAGTCAGCATTTCTAAGGGAATAGTAGTAGAACTGAATAAGGGGCTTTTTATTTCTTCCTTTTTATGTAAATGGAAGGAAATTGATAAACACATTCTTGTCCCATAAAGCTTCAGAAAATGATGAATTTGTCTGTATGTCTACTAGATTATAGTTTAGTAGTTTAGTTTCTTTTTCTGATCCAGTTGATGGCTAAGGTCCTCATGGATGTACAATTTGGAATATTCTCATATATATAAATGTATTTATTAACAGATTGACAGATAAATAGAGATAATTGTCTGTCAGTTTAAAGTATTCTTGTACCTTGTTGGATTTCATAGTATCAGGTGATGTTTATGTGGATCGGTAGCAGCTCCTTATGAGCTACTGTCAGTTCTTTATCATGTTCATGTGTGTCTTGTTTGCTGTAGTACATCTATTCTTTTTTATACTTGAGACCACTTGAGCTGTCTGCCATTGCGGTCAATGGTCTTTGCTCTGGGAGATTTCCGTGGCCAGTTCTTAGAACCTCTTGTAATGTGATGCCTTGTCATCTTACAGGGCGCTCCAGTACACCTTCAAAAATGGGGGAACGATTGCATTCATGTGTCATGCTCTCTTTTCTGAGAGCAAATTTCTCAGTCTCAGCCCTGAGTGTGTTTATTCTCAACACCCTGCCACTGCAAGTGCACTGGGTTCGGTGCCTCTTTGTCTCAGTTTATTAGCGGTCTTTGTTTGGCAGTGCAGGTATGAACCTGAGTAAAGAACTATTATCTTTCTTGATTCTTGAATGTTCATAGATTCATACCTTCCAACAGATTTTCTTGAGATTCTTTGTGTCTTAGCTTTGGCACATACTGTATATCATTTACACATATAGTTCATATAATCAATATTTGATGTAAAGGGGTGCCAAACTAACTGCAGCCAGCCTTAGTAGATTTTGAACGTGTCATGAGGAAAGCTGTTTGCATGGGGTGGCAGCCAGTTGGGCTTTTTAAAACCCACATTATGCCTGGAATAAGAAGAGTAACAGATGAATAAAAGTATGCTTTACATTGTCAAACAGAAAAAACTAGTCCTTATTCTTTAAAAGCCTTTTTCAAGGTTAGACTCTGTTCTGTAAATAAAATGTGATCATCTCAGTCCTTTCAATACCATTTCCAGCTCACATATGTTCAAACCATCATTTGGCCATGAGCTGATGCCTTCTGGACAACATGCTTTTGAACAGTTTGGTTATTTATTTTCAGATTAACCCACTAGTTTGAAGTGGCTGTCAGCTTGAAATGAATTCTCAATTTTCAAATGCGATTAAAGCAGACTTTGTGACAAATGCCTTTTTGCTCATTTCCGGATAGGGACATTTGCATAATTGTCCCAAAATGCCTGAATTGGCATCTGTAAATCTTTACTTAATAATAAATCCCCTCTATGTGGTGACAGGATTCAATTGGATTAGAATCTTGGATCTCATTAGTGCTGTTTGACAATGGTCTTTTTCATAACACAGAGATGTCATCAGCTGAAATATGAATGAAATTAATTCGTTTTCATAGTGGTGCACTGGTCTGAAACCCTCCTTTTAATTATGCTCTCCCTCTTTCATCAACTCTCATCTTTCCTCCTTCAGCACGAATCTACTTCACACACATGTTGAAATTTTTTTCATCATCTTTTAAGTAGGACTCTAACTTGGAGATGATTTGTGCTTTGGAATGAATCTTTTTCTGTCTATGTCTAGAATTTAAAGTTTCCTTTGAGAGGAGAAATTCACGCACATTTATTGAAGCATTATTCACATGTTTAATAATATGTGGAGTCATCATCATCATGTTTTAAACATCTGTTCATATGCTTTAACATCTTGTCATTTGTGTACCCCAGCTCAGTTTTTTAATGCCATCCCCTTTTCTTTATACACATAATGAGAAGTGACACCTCTCCTCTAATGCCCGTGTTTTCTCTGTGTGTTCCAGGAATCCAGGATTAACTGCGTCCGCATTGCTCGCAAAGGTAACTCAATGTGAAGATGCGTGCTCCTGAAAATGAAATGCATGTCCCAACCCTGTGCACCTTTCTCGGTTTATTAAGGCTGCACACTGAGAGCCTCAGAATGCTCCCATGATGGGGTGGTTTTCCTCAGCGTGTGCTGCACTATTGTTCACTTTTCTCTTAAGCACAAAAGGTTGGGATCTGGACAAATATTCTCTGACGTTCTTTGTTGTTTAGCAGAGGGCCTCAAAGGAAAGGGCAATAACCAGGGAAGGATTAGAGGTCAGGCTTTCATCCTGCTCGTTTGGGGGCGGACTCTGGGACACACTATATCAAGGCAGTTTCTTTGTTCTCATCAGTTGCCCACCAGATAGCTACATCTGAGGGCTTTGACCTCAGTGGCATCCGAACGGGTTTTCCAGATCAAAACTCCCCGATGGAGCTACCTTGGCCTGTCAGTGTGGCCGCCCCTCCTCCTCTGCACCTCTTTTTTTTCCAGATTCAAAGGGACATGAAAAGGGCAGAGGAATTGACTCAAAGTCCTTATAGCATGAGAAGCCCTCTGTCACAGTACACAGGCGGATGATGCTGAAAAAGAAAAATTCAAACGTTTACAGTTCTGCCAGCACTGCAACAGTAAAGAAGACTTAGTAAGCAAATTAAATGGGCGGACTGTCAGTTTTCAAGGGAAGGCCTTTTTTGTTTTGTTTTTTGTGAGTGAATACCAAGTAATGATACTCTCCTGAAGAATAAAGCCAAAAGCCAGGGCTCAGCTCTCACTCCATCTGCCCCACGCTACACGCTCCGACAGTGATTAATTTTGCCTCTCTCATAGCGAGGCGCCGTATGCTGCTCTGGCCTCTAGTCTTTAACGCGCTGCACAGGAAAAAAAAAAGAAAGAAAAAAAGACATATCTTGTAACAACAAAATAAAATTTGAGAATATAGAATGGAAGATGAAAAGAAATGCCTGAATGACATAATTGCTTCATGCAGGATATTGTGTTTGTATGAAAACAAATGTACGTATGTATGTATGTTTAAAAAAGGGTTTTATTCAGTTTCATCGAGTCAGAGCCTTTCTGTGGGTGTTTGAGATCTCAATATCTCTCCACCATTAACATAGCCTCTGCATCATCGCATCCTGAGCCATTACTATCAAGCACTCCATCAAAAGTTAAGTGGAGGCAAATGATTCTAACTTGGATAACAAAGCTGGAGATTACATTTCAACTTCCAGGTGACAGTTTAATTAAGGATCCTCTGGCAGACTTGACACAACAATAGACTTCTATTTCTCCCTTAAGAGCCAATTTCCACCATTGGGCAGCTGGCAGGTGCAGAGATTCATGTGGAAATCCATTTCATGCTTGTATTTGCCGTAATAAGAAATTTCGAGGCTAAATGTGGCAAAGCGGCCCTATCTGTCCACAACATCACAAAAGTGAAATTGATTTTTCACCTCCTCATCTACATTTTAAGCTTGAGCAAACCACACCTGTATTAATGTAATTTCAAATGAAGTGGCATCATGAAATAAACAGATAGGGCTCGTGACTGCGGAGCACCTTCCAGTCGGCTGAGGTCTTTTCTATTTTTGGTTAGACTTGCTCACAGATACAAAGCCATCTTTGCCTGATTGTGTGTTCCCGTGTGTGAGTAGAAACCACAAAAACATCTTCTTTGATTCACCGTCTGACTAAACCGTCTGCTTCCTCGACTGCACTCTGCAGTATACTCATGAGAAATGGCTGTGTCCCTAAATGGGGCACAGAAATTTCTGGAACAACACAGCGACACAAAAGCAATGTCAACAGCAGGTTCAAAAAGAACTGTTCCCTTCTGATATACGGCCAGTGACTCATTTTCTTCCCTATGCCAGACACTCATCACTTATTAATGAACCCTGCCAACTAATGAAATGATATTGTACTACTTTCATCTTTATTTGGGATAAGGGTTCAAAAGGATCTACAAAGTGCCCATGGCTGCAGATAGTTGGGCTAAAACATGGCTAGGTTTTCATTTCTCCTGCCCCAGATCCGATTTCTTTCCCCCAGCAGACTGCAAGATAGAGCTCTATCCCCAGGCGTGCTCTGACTTTCTCCTGCTCTCCAGATAGTTTGTGCTTTTCCAATGGGCTCGGTTTGGCTGGTTTCAGGGCTGTCAAGGCCTGGAGGACAGGCTGACACAGAGAGAGAAAATAAATAAATAAAACTAGATCAGTAGGCCCCCGGAACAAGACAAAGACATCCCCACTGCTCAGAACCATTTACATAAGTATGAAGCTTTATGCCGGAGAAATGAATAACCTGCTATTATGATAATGACCTTTCCAGTGTTTGTCAGACACCAGGGCACCTTGAGATTATACTGTCGGGCTGAAGAGATGATTCCGACTCAGAATCCAATGCTAATTTATTAATTATTAAGTCCAAAGCAGGCTGAAAGGCTTACTGCATGTATCACAACATAAAGATATAGGATAGTAATTAATGTTTCCGTGTCCTTGTACAACTTTTGATTTATAGTCATTTAAAAGACTTCCAAAACTGCAGCGCTTTAGGAACTTGATAAATGAGTTTGAACAAATGAGTTCCTTACATTTTATAATCTCATAATCTGAAAGAAATAGTTTCATCCTTATCTAGCTCAAAGAAGTCCGCATAGTCCCCCTAAGATAGCAGTAATAGTAGGATATATATTGAATAATCCAGTCATTTTGTGAAATACACGTTCCTATTATGTAGCTCTGATTTTTTTCCTTTACGGTGGACTTACTCACTAAGCTGTATTGTTATGTGATTGGTGAGGCAGAAAGTTTTGGGTGCATTAATTCCACAACTTTATTCATTTTTTGCGAAGACAGTTCACATTTTTGAAAATTGAATTTCCTTTAATTTGAATGGGTCTGTGTTCCTCCTGATAGCGGCCTGCAAAGATCACCGTAAGGCCCTAGAGGTCTCCCAACACTCCGAGGAGATGGGACTGATTCTTGGCGTGTGTGCTGGAGGACTGGTGGTTCTCATCCTTCTGCTTGGTGCCGTCATCATCATCATCAAGAAAGGGTAAACAGCTCCTGTCAACGGCTCCGTCTAAAGCAAGCCCCATTACATGCAATCACTCCACATCTCTGGCTTTGTTTGTTTTTGTTTTTTTCCCCCACTTATGTATTGTGACAGTTCAGCGATCTGTTTTTCTATACGCTAAACTTCCAAAAGGTCATCCTTGTTCAGGGAGGAGGCTAGACGAAAAGCCAGCCTGCATCGTTTTCTATCTTTTGTGTTGCACCAGAGGGACCGAACTACTCTCATCTGCAGAGCCTATCTGGGTGTGAAGTATTTAATTAAAGGCGGAGGCAATTCAATTAGCCACCTAATTACACACACCAAGCAGAAGCCTGACCCTTAAATGAGATGGTAATTGGCAGGGAAAAGGTGTGCTTTTAGAGATTATTAACCATTGATCCCACAGGTCTGCAGGAAAATCATCATCTATGCCCTTGGTTCTGTATGTAAAATACACAGACCCTAAAATATGACAATTTAAACCAGTTTCTACATGATGAGTTAGGCTAAACACCAGTAATCAGAATTCAAATGACTCAAACGGTGCCCTGGCTAACGTAGAGTCATGCTGATTGTTAAATTCCCTGTGACTCCACACATTACTTGTTCTCCTCTCCTGTGCCACCTTCTGTTTTTGCCTTGGAGAATTGATTGCCAGATTTGTTGTGACAGGGAGCCACATGGTCCGGTCCTCTAGGTGTAGCGCTGAGACACATTCGATTGAAAGTAACACCCTTTTTTTTTCTGCCCGGCTGTGTGTTTTGTTCAGTCAGCAGCTGCTTGATGCACTTGAATGTGTCATATGGCCACCTGCACAGCTGGACCCATTTTCACTGTAATCAATGCATTCTGCCCGCAGCTGACATTGCTTTCATCTTACATCTCTTCTTTCTCTTGATTTCTTTCCCCCTTCATTCTCACGCTCTCTTGCCAGAAGGGACTACCACTCTTATTATCCGTAAGTGACTCCACCTCTTTGCTTTTGCATCATTTCGTGATCCATCATGTGCGCTTAAGCTTTGGCTGTCAGTCATAATTTGAAATGGAAACACGACACAGTGCCTCTTTTTTCCTTTTGAAAGTTATCCATAACTTATCTGCCTTTTTCCTCTTTTTTTCTTTCAGTTATAATTCTGTCCCTCTATTTGTCTAACAGAGTGTCATCTATCTCTCTGCGTTCCTCTTTTATCCGTGAGCAGGAAACCAGTGAACATGAACAAGACACCTATTACCTACCGGCAGGAGAAGAGCCATATGGGCTCCATGGAGCGCAGTTTCACAGATCAGAGCACCCTGCAAGAGGACGAAAGAATGGCTCTTTCCTTCATGGACTCACACACATGCGGTACACGAAGTAAGATGTATATCATCTCGCATGCTGGCATTTTTGATGACCAACATATGTTTGTTTCACTCATTTGAAAATATTCCCTCCTGTGCTATTCTGCTGTCAGCTCACGGACTGCAACTGATCTACAAATTACTATCAGCATGTCCCACGCCTAAATAATTTATTCTAAATGTGAGGTTTACTTTCATGTCTTGTCAGTGTCGCCGAGAAAAATTTTGAAGTTCCTCCAAATCTTGTACTGTCTCACACATGATCTGAGGCAGAGCTACTGTCACATCCAAGAATCAAATCTAATTCGAAGACAGGTCTTATGAGAGAAACATACTTCTGACAGATGCAGTTCCGTACGTGTCAGTAGGAGCATCCAACGAGCCGCCGTGTCACGCTGACACAAAACCACCGGATGTCATCCCAAATTGACATGCAACTGTTGCAAGAGTCGTTTAATAATTCATCACAGCCCGTTTGGCTTGGAAAACTTTGGAGTTCCAGCTTTTTTCTCAAAATCCGCACATGTGCGTGTTTGTGATGGTTCAGGTGACGCTCGCAGCTCGGTGAACGAGGCCAGCAGCCTGCTCGGAGGCTCCCCGAGGCACCAGTGTGGACGCAAAGGCTCCCCTTACCACACGGGTCAGCTCCACCCCGCGGTCAGAGTGGCTGATCTGCTCCAGCACATCAACCAGATGAAGACTGCCGAGGGCTACGGCTTTAAGCAGGAATACGAGGTGAGGGGTTACGCTGTTACACTCTGTGTTTGAATTCTGACATTGTGCGCAGATGTTACTCTGTTTCTATGGAAGGTCGCTGATTCCATGCAGCGGCAGCTTTCAGCGAGACTTTGAACCCCAGAACAGTGGGCGCGTGTGTGTGTGGAATGGATAAAAAGCTGGACATCGTGTTCCCTAAAAGTACTACAAACTCACATCAAGAGTTATCAAGTTACCAGAAAAGTAGAAAAATGGATGTATTTGGGTTTGTTTTTCTATACTGATGAGCACCATTATCTCTATCATTGGCCAGTTTTCCTCTAACACACACACTACAGTGAGAAAAACAGAAGTACAGGTCATAGCCAGAGTCTATCTTTATTTATTTTTCTATTCTATTAAAATGAAAAAGCTTCATGTCACTTCAGTGTGCCATGGTCACTGAAGGTTACTCTTGAGATCTAAATAAGTTTCCCCACAGTCTTGATGCGAGTCCAGAGAGTCTCTGGAGCGAAAGCCCTCCAGGTTTGCCATTAATCTGATAAGCTTTGAGTCAAAGGAACCCCATGGAAAGCAGGCAGTGCAGATGCACGATGATCCAGATAGTGCACAGTGCTGAGATTACCCCATCCATAATACCCACAAATGAGCATATACATTTCCTAATACATGAAATGTTTCCAGACATGCTGTATGAAAGTCCCCAATCAGTTTTATTTAACCATTTCAAATCAGCTGTGCTTTTTCATATGCTGTATTCTATCTATTTACCCACCTTTTTTGTCTCTATTAGTTTGGAAGTAAGAAGTGTTTTGTGAGATGGTCACTACACAATTTCTGCACAAAAACTGGACGTTTTCCCCTTTAGCACCACAAGCTGCGTAGCATGCAGTTCTGCTATTTCTAGATGAAATTATTTATGTGAATGGACAGCACACACCAGAAACAATGTGGGTGGATACCATTTTCACTCAAGAGAAAGTGTATATTTGACATTACAGTTTATTTCTATATAAATATTGATCGTTTCAGGCAGTCAAATCACTTTTATACATTCATTATTTCATTTTATAGTAAGGAAATACTAACAATCACTTTTCTGAGCAACATATCATATGAGCTATCTTGTAAAGAGTTAAAAATAAATGGAATCCTTCTTTTGGATAAACACTAGATACATTTATTGTGGTCTTGTGGCCAGTATAACAACGCTTTAATGTCCCTAGAAACACGACACGTGTCTAATCTGATCAGTTGATCAGATTCCACACTCACTGCACTCTCCAGCTTCTTTGCCTGCTGCCTCACTTTGTTGTAAAACCCCTTCAGCACCTGTGCACTCAGGTATTGTCCTTGCCTGACACCCTTGGTATATGATTCAAAGCACACCTCTGAAGTACCCAGAGCTTCAAATATCTCTCCCAAGTTGAGCAATTGCTGCTGAGAGTTGAGCTCGTGCCCTGGGGAGAAGTCCGTCTCTGTCACCCACGGCCCGTGGCACTCATGAAAAAGAGAAAACATCTTTTGTCTCTGGTACATGGTCTTCCCCTCTGGAACTCTGCTTGTAGACTCATTAAATGGCCCCTTTTGGCCAAAACACACTCCACTCTAAAAATCAATACACTCCTATTTGTTTTTTTGTTTTTTTCTTTCGGTTTGTTTGTCCCCCCCACCTCCCTTTCTGTGCAAAGAGCATGTGTTTTGATGGATCGTCCCTTTGTATTATGAAGGAAAATGATGTGGACTATCTTATTACTCTCCCTTGGCAAGCATGGCTTTTTATTTCCCGGAGGACCACCTGTTTTCTGCAAAACATTGATCAAGAGTTTACCATTGGTTGTAATGGGCCTTGTATGTGTGACAGCTGCTGTCATACCTCCCCCTGCAGAAAACGAATGCATCGGCAACAGAAGAGTTTTACCGTAGAACTCCGAACTTCCATTAAACCACCTTGCACCTTGAGGCTGATGTTTCCAAGAGCGATGGACTCCTTTAAACGCTGATTCACTGCTAAGTTGCATTGGGGACGGCTGAGTTACCGTTCTCATTTCAAATGAACAAACATCACCTGATGCTACATTTTGGGGTTGAGACCGTCAGGCTTGTTTACTCGATTTATTTAGTGGGACATTCTTTTCATTTTTTAAATTCTTTTTTTCAGAAATCTGCATTTTGACTGAATGTGTGTGTGAGGGTGCCATTATGAATCTACTTTTTTTTAATCACGCCGATGAAAATGATCAGGGCGAGGGAAGTAACAGGTAAATGAGGAGCAGCTCACTTACTGAAGGAAGCAGAGAAAGAGAAGGATAGAGAGCTCAACATTCTGAGGGAAGGGAAGGAGAAACTGAGTGTGAGAGACGTCGAAAGAACATCGATATGTTAAGATAAAAAAAGGACAATCTCATTGCGTCAAGATGGCATAATTTCTTTCATCTCAGTCGACTCAGTTTGTGTGATCACCTGAAACAACCACCTCGCTGACCCCCTGCACTGATGGACTCTAATCAATCCTCCCCCGGTGTTGTACTCTTACTCTTTAATAAGCTGCCATTCCCTTGCAGTTTTTCTCCCTGTGTCCCCCCCCACCCTCCGCTGTTTTTCCTCTTCCTCACTGAGGACGGGTGGGAGAGAAACAAAGTCAGCCCAGTGATCTCGTGTCAGAAATGGATACAAAATAAAAGGAAGAGGTGGACAGTAGGAGAAGCGAAGAAGACACATAAAGAGGGAAGACAAAAATGAGGGATACAGTGAGATAGACTCATAAAGAGAGGCCCCGAAAGAGGGAGGAAAAACTGAGGAGGAGGGCTTAATCCCAGGCAGGATTTGACTGGTTCTTGGCTGTCTTCTGGGAGAACTAATTCCTAATCCCCTGCTCCGCATTGAGACTTGGGCAGAATTGAACAGAATTCCCTTTTAGTGGCTCAAAACCTCTGGGCATGCACTGGTATGGATTTAAGTGTGCATGATGTGTGTGTTTACAGATGTGCTGGGTTTAATTCGGCCTTAGAGTGAGGCATGGCACCTTCTGAAAGCAAAAGCATCCGAGCATATGGAAAGATGAAACCAGCTCCAAGACATTTAGAGTCAGCTTCCCCCCAAAAAAGAGAAAACAGGAGGCATGTTCGTGTCGTGAGGCGTTTGTTTTGATAGTTTACCATGTGTCCTTTAAAATGGATGCAACAGCTTTGGTGAGAAAAGCAGCAGCTGAAGGCAGCAGTGGAGGTGTGTAAAGCATCCTCCAGGAAAGATACAAGGATTTAGGATTTGGTTGATTTGCTTTAAACCCGTTAATGAAAAAAGTGTCACAGTTGTTTTTTTTGGACGTGAATGGAAACCTGTTTTGTGCTAACCACAGTACACAATTTTCCTCTTCGGCCAGTAAAAAAAAAGTTGACCCAGATATGACCCTGCTCCTGAACTCTTTAACACGTGTCTTTTTATCTGTGCAGAGCTTCTTTGATGGCTGGGATTGCACAAAGAAGAAGGACAAAACCAAAGGGAGGCATGACACTTTGCTGGGATGTAAGTTATCATGAAATATTGTCGTCCTTGGTAAAAAAAAAAAGAAAAATACTGACCCTAACCTGACTTTAATTTCTGTTTTTTTTCCCTCTCCATATCAGATGACCGGCACAGAGTGAAGCTCCATCCTCTTCTGGGAGACCCCAACTCCGACTACATTAATGCTAACTACATTGATGTAAGTGTCTCTGTTGGTTTTGAAATGCTCGTCAGCTGAGTCTCACACTTTTTCCACACAAATCCACAGTCCATCCCTGTCATCCCTGTAAGCCCACCAGTCTGCTGCCCCACTTTCACCTGCAAGCTTCCATCCACTCAGACGCCTTTCCCAGCAGCGTTTTATGGCTGATGCCGCCGTTGTCAGGTGCCGCGCCGCACCCCTGACCCCACAACCTCATTTTTATTAAAGCCCACTGAAAGATGTGCATTTAAAGTAGATGAACATCCCTGCAATGCTACAGTGCTAATCCCCCTAAATTAAATAGACATCGGTGTTGTTCAATCTGTGAATGGGCCGGAAAGAGATGATCCTGTCCCCCGTTCGCCTCACCCGCCTCACCCATGCAGCGCCACGGTGACATTCTCATAAACAAAATATCGACGTGCTGCTAACACGACTCACACGGTCTCCTTCAGAAAGAAAAAAAAACAGTTGTAGGTTTGATTTTTTTCGGCAAACAGAAGTGCACGTTTAGGTGCTCGCGGTTGTTTATTTTGAAAGGTATTTTGTTATTTAAAAGACAGAAAGAGAAAACATATATTCCGATGCATACGGGAGCCTGTTAGGGCAGCTCTCCTGAAAAATATCAGTCCTCAGATAATACTGTTTGTTTGAGCTGTGTCAAGGGAAGCCTGGAAATCTGATGCGATTTCTTTATCTCTCAAGATTTATTTTGCATGCTTCTCATGGGGACTACTGTAAAGTAAATATGGCTCCCTGTGAGATCTTGAGGCAAGCCGTTGCACTCTCTCTTCTGTTTGCAGTCGATAAGAGGTTAGACGATCTCAACTTTGAAAAATAACCACAATTATGTTTTTTTTTTTCTGTGATAGACCTTTTTTGAGACACACGATTATTTGATTTTGGGTTGGTTCTTTCTCTTAGCCAAATTGTATCATCAAAAGGCTTGACACCGCTCAGCATTTCCCCCCTCCTGTATTTTTGCGTGGAGAGGAGCTGGTGGTGAGATGCTTTTAGAGAGGCCATTACAATGAGAGGGCATTAAAAACCTGGCCTGCTGTTAGGGTGTAGTTATTGTGAGGGTCTCCATTAGTGTTTAGGGCACAGAGGTGCAGGCATTAGAAGGAAAACACCACTCAGCAGCCACTACAGTGTCAGTGATGTTACTCCCCGACAGCCCTGACCCAACATGCTGATTTGTGGCTTCTCAGCCACAGCAGATTATATCCGAAGCAGATTGTGATTATTTCAGCAGAGGTTGAATGGAAAAGTTTTTTTTTCCGCTTTGAGACATCATTTAGCTTTCTTAACAGAGCAGCAAAAGTGCAAGCTCCCTTTGCCCTCACCCTTCAGTGTGGTTATCTGCTGTGTTGGAGTCAAGGTTTGAAAAAGTGCCGAACTCTGCATGTCTTCAATAACTCAAACTGCACACAGGCTTCAGTCGGGAGCTTCATGGCAATTCCTATTTGATTTTTTTTTTCTAAGCAGTAACCTGTATCAGTTTTTTCTAACAGCTGTAGAGTGGCCACACAATAAAAATAAAAACTCACACAGACTTGGAACTAATATTCTTGATCAGTTATAACTTACTTTCTTTGTCACATGACAGAGCCATATTTTCACCCAGTTCATCAGTAGTTAAAGCTTTAAGCAACATGTTTTTTTCTCTCAAGTATTCTTCAGTACTTCATCAAACCACACCGAAACAAAATTAAAACAACAAAAAAATCCTCCTGGCTGATAGTGAAGAATTGGGAAATGTTTGGAGAAAAGAAAATGTTTTCATTTTCACAAATATAGGTACAAATTTTGGACAATAGTTAATAATGGTGTAGTAAATCCTTTTGTGGCTCAACAGGGAGCTTTGAAAAGTCCAACTTGAGTCAGTGTCACTTGGGACATTGATGTACTAAAAAGAATTGCAGAGATATACAGGAAAAAGAGACGGTGCCTGCTCCCTTGAATAAAAATGGCCTGCATGACGCAGGCTAAAAGTTCCCCAACTTCATGTTTTACATCTCTGCGTGCAATCTACTGCTAATGTGCATCTTTCCCCATCCGTGGACCAAAAAACATTTTTCAACTGTAGTAACAAAGTAACAGAGGAGTGAAAAGGCACTAAATGTACCTGACATATTAGGGTGTTAAGGTGGTGATTTGCTGGTTTATCATACAGCATGCTGTTATTTAAACAGCCCCACAAACTGCTACAGTCAGTGATGGACCAACCTCTTTAAAGCCACATGTGAATGAGGTGAAATGTAGAAGCCGGGTTGTAATCAAGTTTTCAGGTGGGATCCTCATGCTTTATGGGCTTTTCATTGGGCTCTTTTCTCTTGAGCAGCAGGCTTTCCATTTCTTCATAAAATGCAGATGAATTCCACTATTGGCTTGGTGGGATTGTTGTATCTATCTGAATTTGTCTGGGGGAATTCAACTGTGCAGTTCTTCGACTTTTGCTATCCAGGCATATTCTCTTTGTATCTTTTTCGGTGGTGAATTATTGGTTTGCTCAAAAATCTTTGCAGTCACAGTTATTGACCAGCAGCCGCTAACAGGCTCAAATTGTTACTTCGTGCCTCCTTTTTTACTGTGTTTTATGATCAGGCAATATCTTGAGATAATATCACAAAGGGACTTGCCAATCCTACTCGGATCTGTCCATTTGTTCTTGTGATTATAGCCTTAGGAATACATGAGTTGCTAACATTAATTCATTTCCTATTTTTGCTGATTCTGACTGTTTAGATGAGAGCAATTTAATTTGATGGACATTCCTATTTGCCTCGATTTGACTTGTACAGAAGAGCTCCAAGGGATTTTTGGAGAGACAGGGAAGAAAGACAAGGAGCAGCCCGAAAATGGGGAACTTGAGCAAATGAAATTACCTCCACAGAGTCTGCAGCAGGTCCCTTTTGGTGTATTTTTTCTCTAGTATAAACTTTTTTGCTGTAATCCTGTTTACCTGCGAGTAGCCATATCAATCAAACTTTTAACTGCAACATAAAAATCTGCTTAGTGCACTGTTTGCATCCCTTTGTAGCACAATTACCCACAACCTCAGGCTATCCGAGACCCACAAAACCAGTCTGTGAATGCTCAGAGTGTCCAAAGCACAATACTATCGCTATTTGGAGAAATTTAAACACACAAATATGAACCTTTTTTTTCAAGAGGCCATGTTTCCACTCCAACGTACTCCATTTTACTCCACCTCTTCCTTCACCTGTGCTTCTAGTTGACACGTCCGGGAACAGCTCACTGCTCATAAACGTTCAACGTTGCAGGACTTGAGTAGAGGAAGGCCACCAGGCACATACAGAACAACAATCTGAACCTGTCTGGAAACGGTTGATAATAATCCCAGAATTTTCACAAACTGCTAACATGACACTGTCTACCAGGCAACTTTCTGACACTGAGTTGCATTGTAGGTAATGAAGGAAAGCAAAGTTGTGGAATACAAAAGACAGCCGTTTTTTTTTTTTGGCACCGTCCCCAATTCTCCCCTTCAGCTATTTTCAGCTTCCTTTTCACCTGACACCATGTCAGCGTCCCCGGAGCATAATGCTGAATTGTCTTTCTTTGAAACAACAATGAGACATTTTCCAGAGCTCACTTGCTCATGCGTTCTCCATAAATCAGTTCAAAGGTTTGTACTGATTTGTTACAAAGTGATTGGCACCACCCTGTTGCTGAGATCTTAAAACTGTGAGTTGTTTTCTTATTAATGGGGGTAAAAGATAGATCGAGCTCAGCCTTGGTGCAGGACCAGATTTCATGTTCTCGTATGAATTTGTGACCTGACACACCTGCACACAAAGAGGCCTCCCATCTGTCTGTAACCATAACTCCTAAAGCTTCTTTCATTAACTAGCCTATATGTCTTCTTTTTCTACTCCTCATCCCACTTCCTCGACCTTGGACCCTGTAGATTCGGATTAACAGGGAAGTAAGTACTTCACTGCTCGTTCTTCTGCCTGCCATCGCTCTATTTTCGCTATGTCCCCTCCTCTCGTCCCACTCTCCTCTTATCTTTGCACTGTCTTCTATCCACAAGGGCTCAACGGTCAGAGTGTTTGTTGTTTTGCTTGATTTGACCAAACAAAAGAAAATAAATTACTCCTTTTAGTTAACCATTTTTAAACAGAGACATGATGATGTGTTCTCTCCAAATAGAGGACGCTACTGTTCTTATTTCCTCTCATATGTGGCCAAGAAACAGGAAGCTTTGTTGCTGTGGCAACTGTCTCAGTAGCGGAGTGGTGGCTCTCATTTTGATAGAGTTTGGCCAGGGCCGGAGGAATTGTGGATAGCAGGCCTCACAGCAATGGTCATCCATCTCCATTTCAAAAGTGTCCCCGATAATCTGACTGGAAATGATTCAGTCCAGAAATTCATCATCAGCGTGGATGGACCCAGTACATCAGAGGGAAGCCCCCCTGCAAAAAAGATTAAAAAAACCTATTATCTTCATGGGAGTTATTCAGATTATGTCTGACCTGCCCTCTGCACAGAGTCGTGATGGGAGCATCAATTATCCCCCCAGCTGCTCCTCCTTACAAACATTATGAGTGTGGTAATTTGAGGTGGTATTTCCGAAGAATTAGAGGATTTTCAGAAGGCCTTTATTTGAACCGTTTTCTTGCCCTAAAATTATTAGAATTTAAAAAACCCTCAGGTGGTCTTTCTAACGTTCACTTGCCTCAAGGCTGTAGAGGTGCCATCTTGTTGTTCATTCATATTCATCTCATATTCACCAGGTGAAAACATCTGTCATCTGTATCAAAGGCTTCCAGTTCCTTTGATATGAGGGTTCTCCAACTGCTTTTTTTAAACCATGTTTAGGATTTTGTTCTAGAAGGCAGTATCACGCTTTTCTGTAGAACTGGATTTAGATATTGTTGTTTACCTTGTAACAAGGTTGGTGGAATTTCACGGGGAAGCCCTAATGAAGAAATGCTTTGGTTTAAAAATATGGCACTACAAGAATACAGACAAGTGGAAACGAATGCGCGCCCTCTTTCAGCTGAAAGCTTTTACAAATCAGCACATCATTCAAAGCTATTTGTTTCCCCCACAGGATTTAAATAAAGGCAATGTTAGTTTTTTTACAGTAACACATGAGCTCTCTTTTCTTCCAAGCCCACCCTATTCCCTTGCACAGGATTGAAGATGAATGCTTCAACAAAGTGTTCCTCAGCATTAACGGGCTTATTTTTGAAAGCAGAAAGTTAGTCAAGTTATAAGAGTGCCAAGTAGAAAAGATAGAATAGCAGCAAAAACAAGGTGTTGTACTGGAAAAATCCAGGCCTCAACTCGATTAAATTCCTGTGGAGGGACCATAGGAGTGCTCCGCAGAAACAAATGACATTTACTGTGTCGAATTACCACGCACACGCTGTCATTTGTCACGCGCTGTTGTTCTGAGGTTGTATGTGCTCCGTATTAAAATTTGGAACAGAACAGATATTTTATTATGTCCTCATATTGTAAAACCTCACACCTGACAGAGGGTTTGCTTTCTTTTCCCACGACTGGAGCACATATTGAACATTCCAGTGAAAGTTGATTTGTTTTTTATTAGACGGAGCTGTGAGGGAGATGTACTAAGTTATTAGACAGCTGAAATTTAAAAAAAAGAGAAGAAGAAAGAAGTCGGAGTCTTTAGTTTTCATTTTGTCTTATTAAAGAACTGTCTGTGGGATTCGGGCATTCTTCAGAGCCCTGAGGTGCTGTGGGAATCACTTTCACAGAGGCGTCTCGGTACAGGGAGAACTACCCCAGTCCTGCCTCAACCCTGGATTCGACAGCAGCAGGGCTGGAAAATTATACAGTAAACATGTTTCACAGTTGCAGATAGGGTCAGTAGGAGGGCAGGGAAGCAGAGGAGGAAGAGGGCCAGACAGAGACACCCTCCCGTGCACATGTGCCTGAGGTTCAGATGGCTTACTCAGCATGTCATCCGTCTTTTATCTTTCAGGGCTACCATCGATCCAACCACTTCATCGCCACTCAGGGTGAGTATCCCTGCAAGGGCCTACTGTCTGTATGTGTCAGTCCGTTATGAGTGTGTGTGTGTGTGGATTGAGCGATGATGAGTACCTTTTGTCGCCATTTAATGAATTGAAGATGATCCGACCAATGAGCCCTCTCGTGCTCAGGCCCTCGCCAGAGCCATTGCAGCATATCCAGGCAGTGTTAGCAAATGCTACACGTTAAACCAAAGGAAAGGAGATTTATTGTAAAACACGTTGATTGCGGCTTCTCAGTCTTTGTGATGTGGAGCATTGTGCTCGTTGTCATCAAAGGATCCCTCGGCTCACCCTCGGTTGCTCAAATATAAAGTCGCCTGCGATGGGGAGCTCTGCATGGTGAGCGACCATTACAAAAAAAAAGAGTCCCCGTTCTGTTTCTAAACCCTAAGGAGACTCCGTTTCTATGGTGCTCCCATTGCAGACTCAGTGAAGCTCTGCTCATCTGCTTATCTCGCACCAGCACCCTTTTCCCCCCCCCCCCCCCATCCCCACCTTTCACCATCAACCACCACCTCTGCTTTATCCTCCATCGCCTCTTTTCCTCTGCTGTTCTTCTGCCACAATCCCGTGTACCCCGTGGTCTGTGACAGAACACAATTATGCAACATGTTCCATCAGCAGCAGCCCCCTTCTTCAGAAGGCTTTGATGCAGCATATTTGTTGTCTCCTTTTTTTGCTATTTCATTCTTCTTCCCACTAGGACCCAAGCAGGAGACCCTGTACGATTTTTGGAGGATGGTGTGGCAGGAGAACTGTTTCAGCATTGTCATGATCACCAAGCTGGTAGAAGTTGGCAGGGTAGGTCGTGCGCTCTCTCTTCTCCTTCTGCCTCCACCCAGTGCTCAGAGACAGAGCAAATCAATCAAAATGGGACAGTTTGAGGTTTACACGAGGATTTGTCAAGTGTGACCTTATTGTCCATGCAGACTGCAGCTCTTGAACTATTCTGTTGAAGTACTGTAACTGATTTTTAATTGTTTTATTTCCAAAATGGATCTATAACTATGTTCACGTTATCTTGTTTCTCATGCTACCTAATGTAAATATCACAGCAATCCAATGCACTTTGAAATCATTAGATACATGCCATAAAACTTGCTATGAAAATAATTCATTTCTTTGCTTCAAAACAAATTGCATGCCCCAATGTCGCAGCACTATAAGAACAAATGTACAAGGCAAACATTTTGGTGGAGTGGCTGTTAGACTGGCACATTTTCTCCAGCAGTAACCCATCATCCAATTTTGTTTTCCATCCTGAGTTAAGTGGTCTGTGTCGCTGAAACCACGTAATATCTCCAATGAATTAGAACCCGCATTGTGCCCAGTGTTGTTTAAAAAGAAAAAAAAGTTTGTGTCTGTTTCCCTGAGCAATTTACAAGTAAAACCTCCATATTTTCAAATTTCAGCTTTATTCATACCAACATGTCTTAGTTCTTATTAAATCTATAAGGAAGTTTTAACTCTTGAATTAAAACGACCATGAGTATATTCATTTGTTTCATATTTGGTCTCAGAATTTCCTGTCCTGAGCAAAAGTAGATCACGGAACACTTCATGTCAGTTGTGAAAATTATGGTTTTTGGGTAGATGACGGTAAACATCATCGATTCGATTTCATCAAAATTTTTCTGAATCCAGACTTCATTAAAACGTTTGCCTCCAGCTAAAAGAGCAAAAGTAAGAAGGGTGATTTCAGGCAACACGGAGGGAATTTCTACTTCTTGGAGTTGAAAGGCTACACACAAACAAATCCATGAAACTAAAAATATGCTAAAAAAATGTGTAATTGAAGATGTTGAATGTGATTTTGCAGAGAGAGGGAAACATCAGTACACAATGTCAAAAGTAGCTTGAAACTGTGGAAACTGTGTTTTTAAACAGGTAAAGTGCTGTAAATACTGGCCTGACGACAGCGAGATGTACGGTGACATCAAGATCACCCTGCTTAAGACAGAGACGCTTGCTGAGTACACAGTTCGCACCTTTGCTTTGGAGAGGGTGAGTTTAACTCAGGATTCTTTGCACTTGTTTTCCCACCATCTTTTGCTTTTTTTTTTTTTTTTTACATATCATAACATTCTCAGCTTTTCACTGAGCTTTTGAGTTTAATCTGTGTTTTTCTTCACTCTACAAGATTGTGCCAGTGTTACCTGGAAAGCTCGGGTTGGTATTTAAAGTGTTATGTTTATATCAGGGATTAGATGCGTTCCCGGAGTCGGTGTTGATGGACGTGAGGTCCGTGTGTTAAATTTGGAGGAATTAACTTCAGTAGCTATCTGAATGCCCATGCCATCCTTCCAGGGTAGCTGCTAAAGAGTTGGGGCCCATGATGGCTTCCACCCTGTCAATCTCCTGGGGAGATCTCTCGCTGGAAAGGCTCAGAGCCACGCTGCAGTGACAGTGGCACAAACACAGCATTATCTTCACACTCTCACATTTGCGCTCCCTGGGCTCATGCTGCTGCTTATTCAAATCGGCATGAATTTAGGAACTGGTGACAGCTTGTTTTTCAAAGCTCTTTTCTTTTTTTTTTTTATTTCTGTCACCAACAAATCTTCGCTGTGCGTGGCTTAACTTTGTGCCATCTTTGTATGGAGGAGGAAATAGCTGTGTGGCTTTAGCTGCCTCCAAGCCACAAGGAGGGACCTCCTAACCCTCCCTGAGCTCCCCAGAGCCTCAGTAATTCCTCTCTGTGCGTCTGCGACACTACAGCTGCTGCTAACTTGGGATGCCCAAGGGGCCCAACTGTCACTGAAGACCCAACGCCCTGTGTGAATAATGCTGGTTCTCCTCACTTTGATTCGAAAAAGTTAGTCTCAGCCATCACAGAGGAAATGTACTCAGATTGATGGGGGTGCATCTTTGGCAAGATCAGCGCCCGCAGGCAGCAACAACTGGAATCCCAGCATTCATGTAGCATTGTTGTTGTTTTCTTTCTTTTGACAGAGAGGATATTCAACCAAGCACGAGGTTCGACAGTTCCACTTCACGTCCTGGCCTGAACACGGGGTGCCCTATCACGCCACCGGACTGCTGGCTTTTATACGAAGAGTCAAGGCATCCACGCCTCCTGATGCTGGTCCTGTGGTGGTCCACTGCAGGTAGCACCCTGCCAGCAATGAAACAACAACTATTTATAACAGTCCAAGCCTTTTTTCGCTGCCTGATGAGTAGAAACTTTTAGTTTTCGATGATTTCTGTCAATCCAGATCCCGAAGCTCTAATAATGCGTTTTATATGCTATATATATTTCTAACATTTCTGTGTTGTTGTTTTTTTACAAGGCTCCAAAATGCAAAAAATCATACTTGTATATACTTTATATACTTGTTCTGACAAAAAAAAAGTTACTTTAGAAATGTTTCCTGTTCTTCATTTAGTCATCCCTGCAGTTCTCAGCTTTCTCAGAGGAAGCCTTTTACTTTTCTAGGACGTGTTTTCTCACCTAATGCCGCCTTTGTGTCACAGCGCGGGGGCGGGCCGTACCGGCTGCTACATCGTCCTGGATGTCATGTTGGACATGGCCGAGTGTGAAGGTGTGGTGGACATCTACAACTGTGTGAAAACCCTCTGCTCCCGACGTATCAACATGATCCAAACCGAGGTCAGGACATCTGTGCACCGAGGGAAACGCCTTTGCTTGCTGACTGACTCACAGATCTCACTTTCTCCTGTGACTATTCTACATATTCAGCAGGTCACATCTAATGATGAGAAACACGTTGTACACAGGACCTTAGAGGACTCCGCTTTTTAAACAACTTATTTTCTCCCTTCTGTTGTTTAACTCTATGTAAAGGTCATTGCCAGAGTTTTTAGAGAAAACACTCATTTTGTGCGTCAGTGTGCCCTGTTGGCATGTGCTGGTCTTCAGATGTGTAGATAATTAGCATATTCAGACTGTAATATGCAAATCAAAGACTGGATTAGCTGGGAATTTCATTTGTGGTTGATTGTAGGATTGGACCATTTAAATGTGTTTATTTGCCAAGACATATTTAGCTATTCACTGTCAAACAACATACATACTGTACACCACTGACAAAACAGCGTGTGTGGTGTTTAATTCTGGGTATCATTTTGTGTATCGCCTGTTTGGCTGTTTACTTCCATCTTGCTGTGCCGCTCTGTTGAACCTGCAGTAAAGTTTGTTCCCTGCTGTCCTTTCAGGAGCAGTACATATTCATCCATGATGCCATTCTAGAGGCGTGTCTTTGTGGAGAGACCGCCATCTTGGTGAATGAGTTTGCAGTCACTTACAAAGAGATGCTGCGTGTGGATTCTCAGAGCAATTCCTCTCAGCTGCGGGAGGAGTTCCAGGTGAGTCGCAGAAACTGACAGGCAGGCAGAAACTGGGACAGGTCAGCCTGTCATTATTAAAAAATTAATTGTTGTGTTGTAATGGGGAACCTGAACCCGCCTTTAAAGTGAAAAACAGAAAATACAAATAGGTCAAAATGAGAACGTGTCTGTCGATGCTTATGTACATTTATCCAGGCTGATCTCAGTTTCAAATAGACTTCATTGTGATGGAAAATGAAATCCGGCCCAGGGTTTGGAGGAGTGCAGTGTGAGAGCATTTCCTTACATGTTGATTAGGAGACTGGATTTCAGGGGTAGCATTTTAAAGAGATACAGGAAGAGGCTTATGCTCCGCCTCTAATTTTATTCCACTTTATCCTCATACAATATACATACAGTAGGAACCTTGATGGATTGATTGTTTGTGATTAAGAAATGGCACTGTAGGTGGTGCAACACCCTGATTGCTGTTCCTTTTTCATATCTTACACTCCCTGCTTTGATCTTGTGAACTCGCCTGTCTGGCATTGATGTGGAAAGCCCCCCCCCCCCCGCCACCCAGCGTGCTTTGCTTTTTATACGGCTCTCAGCCAGCCAGTGGTATAGACATCACTAAGTCATTGATCTATTATTGATGCTGGGTATTAATGATCCGAATATGATTCCACTTTGTCTAATATAATGACAGCTTAATGAACAGAGGGCTCATCACAGAACACTGCCATGCGAATTTCCTTTTTTAAGCTTTTGTTTAATTATTTAATCACATTCAAATGTATTGTGCAATCTCCCCAATTTGTTCTTAGTTCATCTAAGCTGGTTTGTCACTGTGGTGTGCAGTGTATTAAATATTCTTTCAGTTAACGTTATTACATTTTTCATCCTCCTTTCTTCCTCTCTGATTCACTTCCTCTACCTCTACTTCTTCTCTTGCATCATTTTTTAACTTTTAAATTGCAGACCCTGAACTCTGTGACTCCCCACCTGGATGTGGAAGAGTGCAGTATTGCTCTGCTGCCCAGAAACCGTGAGAAAAACCGCAGCATGGACGTCCTGCCGCCGGATCGCGCCCTGGCCTTCCTGGTAACCACCGAGGGGGAGAGTAACAATTACATCAACGCGGCCCTGGCTGACAGCTTCCACAGGCAGGCTGCCTTCATCGTGACGCCTCACCCGCTGCCGGGCACCACGGCTGATTTTTGGAGGCTGGTTTTTGATTATGGCTGCACAGCAGTAGTCATGCTCAACCAGCTAAACCAGTCAAATTCTGCCTGGGTAAGGCCAAGCTGTTATGAACATTTGTCTTACAGTTGACGTGTTGGCACTGCGAGGGAACAGAAATATGAAATGCTTCACCCACACACTGCAGTCCGCCGTACAAGTTTTTCAGTCTCAGTCTCCCGGTTGTGTGAGCACATTTGAGACTTTTCCCAACAACCACAGCCTTCACTATTTCTGTGTCTTACCGTCCTTGGGATTAGTTCCTACATGCCATTTTATAGAGCTTTGATCTCTGACCACACTGATCTTAGGGCGTGACTAGATAACGCTCGTCCCAGTTTTTCCCTTCACTCCGCAAGATACGTCTCTGAAGAATAGGCCGGCATTACCAACCCCCCTCCCCCCACATCACAGGGTTCTTTTTGTTGCCAGCCCACTTTCTCTCCAGAGGCTTTCTGTGCTCTGCAGTCTTCCCCACTCATACTTTAAACTCATGCAATGGCGAAAAATAGGACCAAATGTAATTTAAGTCATGAAAACATCACATAAGATTTTGCTTGTGAATCTCCCCAGTCTTATCTTTCCTTTTCTTTTCTTATCTTATCTTGTAATAAGCTAGTGAATCCCCCTACCGGCCTCTGTGAGAGAACAGAAAGGCCTTTTTTTCAATCTCTTTAATTTAGCTGACTATGTGTAAATATATATTCTATTCTATATATAATATTCCAATATATTCTATTAAGGAAGGAAAAGCCATTTCAACATGACCATTTCATATATCCTGCTCAGTAGATTTTTTTGTAATGATAGTAGGGATATGGACAGGCATACACTTTGTAATGGTCGAGAAGCAATTACACATTGAAAACAATTCTGATGAAGATTTGCTTTGTTGAAATGTCCAGTATTGGGGCCTGAGGATTTTTAAATAGAAAAAGGCTGGGCCTTGAATGGCTGATAATATAAAGGCATAATCTAATAAATGCATTATATAAATAAATAAAAATACAAAGAATCCTTCTTTAATATGTCATTCAATATTTTTGTAAAGCAAGTTTTTTTAAACAAGTGGGTGAAATTACGTTTGCTTCCTTTTAGGATTTTAAGTTATTTAAAAATCAATTTATTAATGGTTTTTCACATTTTAGGGGTGAAACTCCTCACCAAATGACATAACTGAATGTTTTAGTTTTTAGCGTATGTTCTGGTAACATGATTTGCTCCGAGACATTTTATAAACCTAAAATAACCCGAAAATAAGATGTTACTCCTTGTGTCCATGTCAACTTTTCATCCGCTCACAGTGGGAGGTTTTCATCTTGTTTCTTTTAGGGAAAGACAGAGCTTCTAGTCATGTTTGAAAATTGAGTCGGAGCGACTTTTAGTTGTTCATTACAAGCTTTTGTACTTCAATTCATTCATGATTCCTCTTGTTTGAATATCTTGAACACTTTTCTATATTCTAATATTATATAATAATGTTATTTTCCATTTATTCTCGTTTCCACGCTTTTAAGGAGAAATTATGTATTTTATTTGTACTCTTTTTGTTTTGACCTTTGAGTGCCACGAGCAGATGCTAATGAAATCATCTTTCTCATCCACCCCCCTTCTGTACGCAGCCTTGTGTTCAGTACTGGCCAGAGCCCGGTTTACAGCAGTATGGGCCCATGGAAGTGGAATTCCTGTCCATGTCAGCTGATGAGGATGTCATAACCCGTCTGTTTCGGGTCAAGAATGTCACAAGGGTGAGTCTCTGTGACGCCCAGAACCTGCACGGGCCCTGTTGTTCCACTCAGTGCTATTTTAAGAATGATAGCCCGACACCTCATTAGACATTCAGATGTGACATTTTATTGAGCTGATGTGTGTCGTATACATCAAAGGAAATCTGACACATATTCTCAGCGTTCAAGAACATCCAGAAGCTCCAATATTTGATTTTCAAGGTAATACATCCGTGTAAAACTAAATATTTGACTGCTTGATTTTTTCACATTGTGAAGTATTCTTGTTGTTTTCTTTTCTTTTGGAGAATAGTTTTAGAAATAACCAAACTTATATACATAGATGAGTGCAACAGGCCTCTTTACCATCTCCAAAAGAAAATGTTTTGATAATCAGCAGCCCAGAATATTGAAGCAGTTCCCATAATTGTAGGAGCTGATTATTGTTAAAGATTTCTCTGCTTGGGAAACATGCATTAGAATCCCGCTGACATGCACGCTATGCATTAGCCTCGCTCTGTCTCAGGGTCATGACTGAGATAGGTGTCTTTCATCTCTTTGGTGCCAATTGGCTAATTAAAAGAGCCAACTTTCATAATTGTCATGCCTGAGGTATTTCATTAGCAATGTGCTTCTTCACCCTGCCAAGTAGATTTTGTTCAGTAAGTGTGTTCGATGTTTTCAAGAAGCTCCTGAAATCGGCTAAATAAAAGCCCTGACGGTTCCGCGTAAGAGCACAGCGCCTGTCATTCTCAGCTTGAAAAAAGAAAAAGAAAGGATAAGTAGACTTTACACAACTAATTGCGTTGAGCGTGGCTGTGCAGGTATGCATGTTTTATTCCCAAGGTTTTGCATAAGCAGATGCATGCATTCTGCTCAGGATCACAATTATAGCAGAAATTTGTATGCGAGGCCTTCTCCCCACACCATTATAAACAGCGTGACGAGCAGCGCCCAGGACTTACTTCCTTGATTGGCATCCTTTGCTTCTCTGCCGGCTGCCCTTGTCATTCCCTTTCTACCTGTGGCACCATTTATTTATATACCATTTATTTATATATTTACACAAGAGAGCTACTTTACACAGTGTGGGAAGAATTAAACCCCATAGAAATAACGCACTCCTGTCCTACTTTTAGCCCCTCTCTTTATGCATTAGTGTGTGTTTCCTGCTTGTGACAATGATATACATGGGGAGGGAGTAAAAGTCAAAGGAAATGCATAGTAAGCATGTGTTTGGTTGGGTTAGAAAGCTGTACAAAAAAAATGAAAAAAGGACGATGTGTAAATTCCCACCTTCACTGAGGCTATTCCTCTATGCATCATTGGGTGTCTTTGCCAAGCCAATTTGCATGAGTTACAGTTCTCCACTGGTCCTTAAGTTTTAGGTGATATTCTACAGGACAAGGTTATGAACACACAGGGACCTCTTCCACACACTGCTCAGGCCCCAGTTACACCTACAGATCCATATATCTGAAAGGCAAACTGCTGAGTGAGCACAGCCGGGAGTGCCAGCGCGCGGTCTGGGGAGCACTTAAAACTGGCACATTTGGAAATACACGAACATAAATTTTTGTTACAGTGCACACGTGTCGTTTGGACTCTAACACATGTTCCATGTTGTCTCTGCATCCGAAGCTCCAAGAGGGCCAGCTGGTGGTGTGTCAGTTCCAGTTCCTGCGCTGGTCGGCTTATCGTGACGTCCCCGACTCCAAGAAGGCTTTCCTCAACCTGCTGGCTCAAGTGCACAAGTGGCAACGGGAGTGTGGAGAAGGACGCACGGTGGTGCACTGCCTGTGAGTAGTCCTCTAGTGGCCTGCATAATGTGCTGTATAGTATAGCATAGCGAGGCCAAACAGAGATGCATTCTTTGTTTTTCTCCCGAACAAATGAGCGCCTCTGATGACCGACGTTTCAAATATTCATTTGAAATTCATTTCCATTCAAATGGCATGCCACGGCTTACTCAGAGGGGTAAATCTGTTCAAGGCGAGACAGGGACTTTGTCGAGCCTTGTCCGTCTCGTGGCGCGACGGGATACGGGGCAATTTATTGCAGCGGCATTTTGTAATGTGGGAAAATCAAACTGGGTTGCGATGTGGTATTCCACAGTGCAGTGTGTGGGTCCGCATGCCCCGGAGTGCACACCCTGCCCAGGCATATGAATGGGCCGTCTGGCTCATTGCCGACCCGTCACACGTTCACACCCACCACCTCCATCCGAAGGCCCATCACTCAGTTCTGTCACACAGCGTTACCCTCGACAACCAGGAAGAAGATTATGGAAATCAAATCAATTATGGCTTAATACAGAATGCGATGGTTCCCTCTACACTAAATCCAGCACTTGCCAAAGCACTGACGACGATTGATTACCTTAATATTGCTTGTATACTCTGCAGAGTCTCCCACGCCCACCTTCACTTTATCTGTCTCAGGAGAGAGGAGGTGGATTGTCCTCCAGTAGTTTACAGATATTGCCTTTCATTTCTGATGATCTGGACAGTATTTCACAAGAATGTGGCTCGATGCTGTTATTTCTCAATGTGTGCTCCTTTGTACCATCTCTATTGCTATTTTAGTGTTTCGTAAATATCTATATTTGTAGTTTGTTCGAGCAATAGCAGCTGTATCAGATGTCTTTTTGGTGAGATCTTTGCTTATCAGATTACATAGATCTGTCTCCTGTAAACTCTATTATTTTCTTCGGAAACTCAGTGAAATATTTTTGGTGCCTAATTCCCACAGGATAGGGAAATGTGTTTGTACAGATTTCTTTTGGGTATACAGTAAGGCTAAACATGGTTAAAAACTTTCGATAAGAAATACAGAGCTATTAGATCAATTCTGAAGTGTGCATTTGTTTCACCTCACTGCAATAGTCAATATCCAGGTGAGAAATTATTTTAAGGCCCTACTTTTTACACATATGTTATGTTTAGCTTGTTTAGTCCTAACTCTGGCATAAAAAAAGCATTTGAGTAAAAATATGCAGATCAAACTTGGGGTTCGTTCAAAGGGGATTGCTAACGTCTTTCCGAAGTTTCAAAACAATCCATTGGGCAGTTTTGAGGACATTTCACTCAAAACTGCAAATGTCAACCACATATTGGTTCTGGAGGAGAAGCCAGAGGACCACCAAGGGCAGATGGATTGAACCTTTGGGGATCATCAAAGGTCCATATCAAATTTCATAGCACTTGAGGCATTGTTTGTTCAGATATTATAGACTGAATACACACATAGATCCAGCTATGCCATTCTGACAGCCATTCTTCAAGAATGGCTAAACATGGCCAGATATGTTAATATAAAGGAGCCTTTGAAAAAATGTCTAATATTTCAATAAATTCTTATCTCTTTAACCAGCTCATGCTATTTTTTCTAACCTGGAGTTCTTTGTATTGAATGCAGTTTTCCTCACATAATGTGAAGGTGCACAATCGGCTGTGAACAAGGTTTTTTCCCCCGATACTATTCTCATTTGAAGGCACAGCTTTGTGTTCACCTGCGCCTACAAACACTGTTGACAATCTCCAGTATCTAAATTAATTGTGCATTTTGAAATCGAAACAGCCTTTATTGCCCGGCGAGGGGGAAGTTGGCATAGTGTGCTCCCACCTTTATGTTATTTTTTTCTGCTAATTTCTAGTTATAAAGTTTTAATTTTTGATTGTTTCTTATTTTTCAAGAGTTTGGAAGGTGGTGAACAAAAACTCCAAGGGGGGTTAAATAAGGTGTATTTAAACCACCACATTAACATGTGGTCAGGTATTTTTCATGGCAATTATAATAGGAGGAATGTCCAGAGCGGCCATTCTTGTAATCTTGTTTTACGTGTTTTGTGCTCCCTCTGGATACTTTTTGATTTCTTTGCATAAACTCTTGCAGTCCTCATTGGATGATTCCGAGCCGTGTATTGGGTAGTAAAGGGCTGCTGACACCATCCGGCAGCCGTTGGTTTGTGGTTTGTTCATGCTGAAGTGTGAACCACTTGATCTGAAAAGAAAACAGAGGAGTTGATTTACTCCACTCTGTCACTGAAAGCTGCTGAGAATAATTGAGACAGACTGTATCTGTGATTATAACTGTAGCCATGGGATGACATGGCCTGTTAGGGTGATTGTGTCTAATGCAGCGGCCGCGCTTTTTCTGTCATGATTAGAACCATGACACATCGGTCTATAATGGGTGTAACGCTAACTACATGAGGGGGTGTGTGCACGTGCAGTTATTTGATGTGGTTGTGCTCGCTGAGCCTCATATTCAAGTCCCGTGGTGTTTTCCTAAATCGGTGTGTCATAGAGATGCTTTCTTGGCTAACGTGAGTAGTCACAGTGCAGCTACAGCGACCCACAGAACCGAAGAATCAGCCACACATGCGGCTGAAGAGCAACGGCCACAGTTCAGCAGGGCTCAAATGAGCAGTGAAAGCATCTCGTGAAGTCTTGGGTCACCTCCTTTATGTAGCCAAAAAGGCTTTTTCACTGTTTATTTTCTGTTTATTCACCCTAAATGACATGTTTTCCTCCACAGCAATGGTGGTGGTCGTAGTGGGACACTCTGTGCCTGCAACATCCTGCTTGAGATGATCCAGTACCAGAACATGGTGGACATCTTCTATGCTGTCAAAACTCTACGCAACTGCAAACCCAACATGGTGGAGTCTCTGGTAAGAGACCGTAGATGAAGAGGACCTTTTATTTCTGCATGGATGCAGTAATTATTTTATCGTGTCCCTTTTTTCATTCTTTAATTGAGGAAACTTGTGTTTTTCTTCAGGACCAGTATCGATTTTGCTACGACCTCATCCTGGAGTACTTGGACTGCTTTGAGGGCAGATAGCAACTAAATGTTTACCACAGCACAACTGTCCCATGTGGTGGAGATTTGATTTGAGGCCACCCAGTGACATCCCCTCTTCTATAATATTTGGACCTCTGGACTTTGAAGAAAGGAGTAGAAAGAAAAAAAAAAAAGGTCAAGGTTCTAACTTTTAACCTTTAATGTACAGCTGTGAGTTCCTCTTCGTTGATGTTTCTCCCTTTTGATATTATTTGTGTTTTACTTGGTCCTTTTTGCCTCCTGGGCCGATCCGCTTTTGTGCTGAAGGTTTCTGTAGCAGCAAAACAATATTCTGAGCTACCTGTGTATTCTGACGAGGGTCTCCATTGCTGTGCTTCATTTTTTCAGTTCAGCTGCGTTCCCCTGAATTGGAAACATTTTCTTCTCTTATAAGAGCTGCATAGGACAGCAGTCTGCTGTGGCTGAGGCATGACTTATCTAACATACCATAAACTGCCTTATTATCTATTGTTAGGACACAGTCATTCAGATGTAACAACATCAATCTGAAGTGGCCATCACACTTGTGTATAAAACAGCAACAAGAGATTTAATAGACTTACAGGAGTACAACTGACCAACTCAGTATTGAGGCAGAAACTGTACAGTAGTGCAATGTGTTGTATTTTTGCCATAATGTGTGTGCTGGATTACCATGTGTGCTAAAGGTGGGTGTTTCCTGGCACCGCAGCAGTGGTCCCGATCCCACCACAGGAGATTCCTGTCTCATTACTGTCACAGTGCCAATCCCACTTACTGACTTGAATCCTTTACTTTGTTCTTTGCTTCATCTCAATGTATGCCTACAAACATGTACTGTGTCATCTAATGTTCCCACTCCGAGGTGATTGTTTGTATTTTATACCCAGTGGGAAAGAAAAACAAGCAGTGGGTAACCGTATCGAGATGCCCTTGTGCTGATGTGAAAACTAATGTTCCATTAATGCTTCGGTGGTTTGTCTATACCAGTGCCGCACTACAGATTCAAGTCTGTAACCATTTTACTATTTTATTGTCTGAGACGTTTGGTTTTACTGTAAACTGTTAAAGTAAGTTAAAGCAGTTTGACTTTAATCAGTTGCGCGGCTCATTTTGAGCGTTTTGACTTAAAGTCACTCATTGTTAGTGGTGTGAAATGAGTTAATATGTATATATCGTAAAAAGGGGCATTAGGATTGAGTAGAGGGGTAAATGAAATCTGTTGTGCAGCACCACTTGCACTTGAACATGTTGGTGTTTTCACAACATTTTCAGTGTGACAAAAGTAAATTAAAAAGGAAATATGTTAAGAAACAACTTGCCAGAGACCCTGTTGTTAAGTTACCACAGACATGATTTAAAAAAAAAAAAAAAGTGTTTTTCAGGTGCTCATCAATGGCTGGAGACCATGGAGCTCCATATGCCTCGGCCAGGCTGGTACAAACTGATCTAAATCAGCTTTGTAACAGCCTCGTCACACAGGGAGGAAGCCATTTTGGGTTTTTCTTTTTTTCAGAAGAACAAACACACCTTCTATTGTTAACCTTTAAATTATCTTTCGCTCCACCATCCCTCCTGCAGCTCCTTTCAGTGCAGCTTTGCTAAGCGGGTGGTGACTGTACCACTCAGGGACCTGCTTTGTTAAACCAGGAGAGGCACCTTGAAGCCCACAGAAGCTGAAAAATGACAGCTTTAGGCAAAGTCTGCTGCTCGTTTGCAGCTCACAGTAAGATTTTTCGACAGTGCGCCAATACCACCAGGCTCTCAAACATTCACGCATATACAGAACAGCTGGTTTTTGATGGTTAGCTACAGTGCAGTCAGTGATCTGGCTCCTGGATTGCTGGAGGAAGTGCCTGGATGCTTTTTCTCAAGTGTCAATGGAATGTGTACATACAGATGTATATTGTAATGTGAATACCATGTGAATAATATACTATATGTTTGCCCAGAGTAAAGACGTACAGTAATTAACCACTGCATAACCACAAAGCTGAATGTGCTGTAAATGACCATTTTGTGAGGTTTTTGTTTTGTTAGTTTGCCAGACAACAGAGTATGAACTGCAGTCAGACTTTGAGTGTTCATCTCATCACTTTAAATGAAGAGCTCATCAAAATGTATGAGTGTACCGTCTGCTTTGCATTTCGTTTAATTAATTTCGGACTATCTAGATCGTCATGAAGTATTTCATCTGCTGTCTGAGTGCATTGTACTTTTATCATTCCAAAGCGTTCTATTCTTACTGCAAACTGCCAACACAGGAGCCCTGATTTCACTCGCCTCTTTCTGTATGAACCAATGGTACATGACTACTGTGTTTTTGACCATTGTATCTGTGGGGACAAGGGGTGTATTTAATGAGAGGGGAAGGAGATGGCAGATGTACATTAGAGTCAGGACGGGGTTTCTGCTGAGGGCAAAATGATTAACAATAAAAGAGAAAGAGGGGAAAAAGGAGAGAAGTTGTCAGGCTGTCATTTGATGTTCTGTCAGAGGCACACACACAGCTGAAAGAAAGAAATCCTTCTAGTTTTACAGCTGACTTGTCAGCAGAAGTGGAGGGCTGACATATGAACATGGACTTCCTGTCGAGAATCTTGTGACCTATCATTGGTTTCTCATGTTTTTAAAGCAGCTCATTTTAAACCACATCAACCATTTGATCTTAGCCCTCTGTCCCATATCTCACCTTACCTTTTTCCTCCTCCCCCTGAGCTCAACTCTTCTACCAATAATTTTATGTCTTCTTGGGATCCTCCATCTCTCCGGCTGGCTTGCAGAGTAACGTGACTCCAGACCACATGCTTCCTCTGTCACCTACGGCTCTGCTGAATAATGCAGTGCTAGTGCAAACTGATCCAGTGTTCAGCAGAGGTACAAGTCAGATTAATTAGAGGGCAAGACTCCCGACTGTTTGCTTGAAGACAAAGTATGCCATCTGGATTTCCTTTTAGATTGGTTGGGGATTGATTACCCTTCAGAAACAAACATTTAGGGGGGATGGAGCCTTTATAAAGACACAGGTCTTTAAAATGAAATTTGCCACTTATCACGTCAGTGAGCAGGAGCAAGAATGCCTTTGAGATTTAATCTGACATTTATAAGGAGCTTTTTTCATGGAGTCAGTTAATTTGTCCAGCCCTGTTTAATATCTGTAAGATTTTCTCAATTTCCCTTTTCACCTGCAAAAAGCTATTATTACACAAAATCTCTTTCCCCTATTCTGTGCTACGCATATTTCACCACAGGTTTGAATTAGCAGGTAATTGGAATATTATCATTTAAATCGCGCGGTGTAATGACTTCCATGGTAAGGGTGGGCTATCACCAGGCTAAGATCCATCCAACAGGGTTTTTTCTTTTCTATCTGGGTTCCCACTGCTTTGTTAAAAGGCCCGATGGCCCTCCCTGGTGAGTGTACAATAATGTGGTGATGAGGTCACACATACAGCGGTCTGTGTCTACAGATTGTAAAAAAGGAAGAACAAAGTACACCTGATGACAGCCCCAGAAGTGTTCCCAATCTTAATAGTATTTATATGTAACCAATAATGCCTAAACTAAGGACTATCTGGTGCCATGGCCTAAAGGGAATTAGTTTGATTTTTCTATTTAAGACCTATTTTCTGCTGTATGAAAAAGAATAATAAGCACAGTACATATTTGGATTGGGTCCTTTCATAGAGAACTCTTCTCACCAGTAAACACTAAATGGCTGCTGGGTATTGGATTTTCAAATGACAGTTGTTTTTCAGCATTAAGAGAAGTCTACCAGCATAAAAACACACCTTTATTTTAGTTTGTTTTATCATCCTTTAACCAAGAGTTACTGGTGGCATAGCTATGTCTCTATTAATCAGAATAATTGACAGTTATTGACTGCTAGCTAATACAGTTGTGTGTTTTCATACTTTCTGTTTTTCTTTTGTGTGTTCAGGTTCTTTAATCATCTTGACCCAATCACTGTCCTGTTTTATTTTGCAGACTATTCCTAAATTTATTTTCTTCCTGTGTGTCATCTGACTTCTGCTTTAAATCACCTCCTCAATCTCTCTGTATCTGTCTTCCTGGTTTTGTTGTCCTCCCCTTTTCAAAACTTTGTGTCGTCTTTGTTGCTGCTGTTCCAACCAGGTTGGTCCTCATGGTTTCTGTTCATCAGTTGATCTAAATTGTCATTGGCCATTTAAATGACTGGTCAGGCTGTGGTTTCCCCAAAGTGCCTTTAGTTGCTTTTGCTCTTAGTTATCAAATCAGCCTTTCTCCTGCTTGTTGTAAGAAATGTGGTTAATTTTCTCCATGAATCTCGGCAGGTGCTGAGTATTGAGTGCTTTCATTTGGTACATTAATCAGCCACAGCAGCGGGCCAGGTAAATATTCAGTTAAAACTGTGTGACTTGACTGTGTGACACCACACTTTTGGGAAAGGGGGAAAGCTATGTTCCTACTTTTTCCAAATGGCACCCTCTGGGTCACTCAGATGAAAACTGTTGCCTTCCCTCAACACCTCGCAGTGTGTTTTCAGGACCAAACAATATGAGCCTATCAGCTGCATAAACAAGTAATTTGACTTTGCTGTGCATGATTGCTTTTTGTGATTACACTGCAGCTGTTAAGCACTTACCGGTCGTGGTGTTCTTGCAGAAAATGCAAGATTTAATTTTTTGTACCTATCAATTATTACATGCCCAAACATGAGGAGTAAACTTCAAGCCATATTGGAAACACTCTTAATTTTGATGGTTATTTGTGTATTTAGACTTTTAGTATGATTGTAAGTTTGGTCATTCTGTTTGAATAGCCCCCCCCCTCCCCCGGATGGGGAGCAGTTGTTGCACTGAAATTTTTTTCCTTCCTCTTTCCAAAAGCAGGGGAAAGATGCCACTTTTAGCACTGGCATAATGTTCTTTTTCAAATTGGAGGTTTTCTTACTGAACGTGTCATCTTTCATGCCAAATGCTTTGCTAATAGATGCAGATAAAATCCAATATTCTCCGAGAGAATATTGTCACCAGTGCTTTTGTCGGTGACCTTGCCTGGGCCAGAGTCAATAAGTCGAAAGACAATATGCATATCCCACATCATGAAAATAATGTGACATACTTTCAGAAAACCTTTCCTCCTCTCTGTGCAGTCTTTACCTTCATGAAAAGTGAACATATACACACCCACATCGTCTTGTTGTGCCCTACTATCTTGGTGGTGTTCCGGCTGAATCGGGCAGCAAACGAGACAGGTGGTCCCAGCTTTGTGCTCGGCAGAGCGGGGACAGAGAGGACCTGGCCAGATGGCTGCGTCCACCCTGTTCTCTCACTGGTCCTGTGCCAGTCTAACTCCAGCCCTTATCTCAGCGGTGTGCTTTCACTTCAGTAAAAGTCATGGTTCACATGAAGAAGGGGAAGAGTGGGTCCTTGTGATGGTCCTAACTTGGGTCACTCGGGCAAACAAGGAGTAAACAATTTTTAAATAGAAAAAAAAATTATGTATATATATATAATGTGTGTGTTAAGTATTTTCTGAAATAAAAACATGGCAGTAATATGCCCTGTTTTTAACCAGTTACTGCTCACCTGCCCTGGCCTTCACCATTTGCCAGGTTTAAATCAGTAGCTGAATTAAACCAGCAGAGGGGAACAAAAATAACTGGTGTGAGGCAGCAACAATGAAGGAGGTGGCGAGCAGATCCTGGAAAATGATTTTTTTTATTATTTATTTCAAATGTTTTTATGATAAAATGAGCCTCTGCCTCCACTGTCTTACTAACGGCAAGCTTAGGTGATGCAGACGCTGGAGTTATTTTGCTCCAAGGATAATGTCTCGTTGTTAGTACACATATAGTAATGTTGAGCCTTGAGGGTTCTAGAGAGAAGCTTGTAAATGATCTTATGTCAACATGAACAATTTCTAGGTTAGGGCAATAAAGCTTCCCCAAGCTGTTATAAAATTTGAAAGATGGGCTTATCAAAAGGTCAACCCTTTGAGGGACTGGCTTGGTAACTGGATTTATCCTTCGGTTTATTTGGAGCAGAAAAATGGGGCAACAAGCAAAGACGAAGATCAATCATACTTTACTGTGATCCTTGACAAACTTCAAGAAGTTATTTTATTGCCTTCGGAGGAATGGATATGATCAGCAAGGTTTGACATTTTGTTTTTACTGTTAAAAAAAGGTGGTGAAGTATCTTTACCTGTCTCTATAGAATAGCTGTAAGCACCTGCAACAGAAATGGTGAATAGTCGCAATTCTGGAATGGATTCATTTTAAATCTTGGATTTTTGTTTGTTGTTTTTTTTTTTGGCTGACTAGTATGTGTAGTATGATTGTCTTAAATCATCAAGCAAGGCTTTGCTATTAAAAAAATATCTTAAAAACAAATCTATTGTACCATAATAGTGTGTTTTCCACAGTTTAGCACTGCATTGATTTGTCTTTCAGCTATTCTTTTTGTGGCTCCAGTTTTCAGAGGCATCTCTGAATTGATTTGACGTTGACAAAGCAATTGCAAAACAACCAGAATATATTTCTCAATCAGGCGATTCTTTGTACTTCCTTTAAAATTGGCCCAGTTGGTGAAACATAAGATTAAAACTGTAAATTAATCAATTCTGTTTGCAATGTCCAGATATGCATTTAGTATAAACCCTCAGAAATTCAGTTTCATGGTGCTCAGAGCAGAGTTTTGTGCTACCAGTTGCATCAAATCAAATCGTGCCTCCCTTCACCTAATGCTAACCCCAAATAAACGCTATTGTTCTGCCTTGGTCTGGAAAAATACTCTAGTTTATTCTAAATCAGCTAGTTGTCACTGATTAAACACTTTCAGCAGTCTGCAATCAGTTGGCATTGTGTCGAAACATGCTTAGATCTGCATTCAAGTGAAGGGTCAGACTCGAAAACATAACAGCCCGATATGAGTCACTCCCCAATGAGTCCAGTATCTATAAGGGGAAACTACAACTGTCACCTTCCTACAGGATAATAATGTAGAGGAGCATGGATATTTTCTTTTCATCATGACACATATGTGGAGATGGACAGATTTTTTGTTTGGATTGCAACAGAGACTGAGAACTGGTTGAACCAGAAATAACAACTTTATTATTCAGAATACAATAAAGTAGATATAGGAAAGTTCAATGGGAAATGTAAGTGTTCTATCAGTAAGTAGTGTGTATGCAGTTGTAGTAATATCTCCAAAAGTAAATGTATAAAACTGTTCATTCTCTAGTTTTTAATTATTCATTTAGAACAAGAATGCTTAACCATTGTCCAAGCAGCAGATGTAAATACTATTCCTCTTGGTTAAAATCTTTAAGTTAAACCATTCAGGACTGCTTTGCATAAAGACAGGACACAAGAGACACCTTTCCTGACTTTTCTTGGCAAATTGTACCCACCAGAATGTTTAATTATCTTAAATTAATATTAATATGACTCGTTTATCTGTGCTG